ATGGTTTGTATTCTTTTTTCTTCTTCTGGGCCGGCTGTTTAGAGGAATCAGTTGCCCAGACCTCTTTTCTCTTCTCGTCTTTGTTTGACGACTGTTTTTGTCGTCCTTCTCTTTTGTCGGACCTTTTCCCGTCTGACTGTTTTACCGTACTACAAAGATCAGTCGCCTGTATATAGGCTTCCGCCTCAATCAAGGCCTCTTGAAGAGTCGCCACCCTCTTTCGGACCAAATCAAATTTGAAGGTCGACCCGTCTTTGAGACCTCTGAAAAAGTCAGTGTAGGCTACTTCATCCGGTAACCCTTAAATCTGTATTCTCATCAGGTTAAACCGCCTGATGTAAGAACGAAGCCCCTCCTTCTCGCCCTGCTGAATCGTTCCTAAATCAAGGGTCATCTTCTTCGCAGGGATGTTCATGGCGAAGTTGGAGGTGAATAAGTAAGCAAGCGTCCTGAAGTTATTTACACAACCAGTCGGCAGGTTGCCGAACCATTGTTGTGCGATTCCTTTGAGAGTCGCTGGGAAACACTTGCACCAAGTGGGATCATCCAACCCTTGAAGGTACATCAGGTTGGTGAATGCCATCAGATGGTCTTCTGGGTTAGTAGTGCCGTCATAGGCGCCTACTAATACATTTTTCACTTTGGCCGGCTGAGCGGCTTCAGTTATTTCCTTGGAGAAGGCCGACGGCTGTTCGCCCAGTCTAAGTAACCGTAGCTGCCAGTCCATAGGTTGGACATTTTTTGCTGCATGTCCACCAAACGGAGGTGGCTGCAAAAAATACTGTTGTTGCGGTACAAACGGTAAGTTTGGTACCGCCTGGTCTCTATGAAAGCCGGACTGACGGGAGGTGCCGCCTGACTGACTCTCATGATACGACTGAGTATGCCTCATCGAGGTATTGCGCAGACTGTCTTGGAAGTTTGAAGTAGAGGCCGACTCTGACAATTGGTCACTCTTCTTCTGCTCTAGCAGTAGCCGAGCATCTGCGTATGTTTTCCTCGACCCGTCCGCCTGAATATGACGAACATGTTTCCTCTTTCCTGGAGTAGGAAAATGGTATTTTGTGAAATCAAGGGCAGGTAGTTCCCACTTCCTAGATTTAGGATGAGGGGTCGCCTCTCGCCCTTGAACTGGCTTCCTCTTCCGTGAAGTGGAGGGTTTCTTAGCCGACTGCTCCTTGTCCAGAGCAGGCGGCTTCTTGTTGATCAACTCTTGAATTTCTCCCTTGAAGTCCCTCATGAAGGTCATGAGTTCGTTCCTTGTGATGGGAGCAGACCCATCAGTCAGCTGCTGCCGAACAGGCGGTGCGCCTGCTGGCTCACTTCCAGTTTGAAGATGTTCCCGTTCCCTCCTTTCGGTATGACGGGTACGTCGGGCCCTTAGGGTCCCATCTGAAGCTGTGTGAGCTTCAACTTCAAATTCATTCTCAGTATCGTGGTCCGACTGAACTAAAGGGTCGTCCAGGGGACGTCTCTCTTCAGGAGCCGGTACAAACGTGGATGCCATCTCAGAAGTACTCTCCCCACAGACGGCGCCAAAATCTTTCGGGGTTTTCTGATGTCCTGCGGGAGAGTTACAATTCCGAGACTGGAACCGGACGCCTGTACCTGCAAAACAAACGGATGCTCCGGATGATTGGAGATCCGCCTCCGACGGCCAAGTTAGTACTTGATTAAGGAGTAATTAATGTGGAAATTAAAGTGATTGGGTCTCTCTAGGTGAGAGTGTTTAATGTGTGTAACCTGCGTAATCTCCCTTAATGAGGATTAAGGGGGGTATTTATAACCTCGGGAAACGTGCCAATCCTAGGTTTAGGTTAACCTTGGGCTGATTGGGCTTCCCTCGGAAGTTGGGCCTAGGTGGCCGACTTCTCCATTAGGCATGGAGTATGCCACGTGTCATGACATAATAGGTCCAGGGTGGACGAATAAGCGTGTGCCACGTGGCAAGCCTTGAGAGGTCCAACTGGGGGACACTTGGCAGGACCTGATTGGCCCACGTGGCGCATTCCGATTGGTGGGAGCAAAATCCCGTAATCACCGGGGGTGGACGAGATAGGCGTGACCATATCTCTGAAAGGTAGCCATGCCCATATCTCGCACCCGCTCGACTTGTGCTCTGGGCGGCTCAGTTATGCCTGGAAGGACGTCCGACAGTGCGTCAACCATCGCCGTCATATCCAACGCCTGCAGTAATTAAGGATGAGTTAGTTGAATGATATACAAATTTAAAATTGATAAAAATAAGTTAATCAAATACACTTACATATCCCCTGATCACGTCAAAGGATGGATGGTAATGTGCGGATGGCGGTGTGTAGCTGGGGTTGATGAAACGCCGTGTAATTCGCATGTACCACTCCATGTATGGATCGTATGGATCCATAACGCCGTAGATGGGGTCACCAGTGACGACGAACTCCAACCGTTGATGCCACAAGTCAATGTACTGGGCATGCTCCGTCCGCCAGTTCCTGTCGCTCTTTCCCCGACGGTCAATGCCGTGCAGCCGGGCACTAGTGTCACACTGCTGGGGGACAGTCTGTCGTAGTCCAAACTGTCGCATGACTCGATCTGGTAGGTGACCCTCGACGACCTCAAAACAGATCAGGGGGACCCTAGAACGCCACTGCGCCTGATGATCTAGCAGATGTGGAGGCATGGCAGCAACTAAATCAGCTTCATACGGGTCCCATGTCATCTGCGATAACACATAAAAAGTAACATAACAAACAGGTTAGTGCATATTAAATATGTTAAGAGTATACATAATAAATAACAATTTCATAAACAAATTAAAGATTTCACCTGATCCTCGGTCAGTCGATCAAGGGCGTCTCGGTAGTACGGCAGGCCCCTCGCCGCATGCGCATATGTCAGCTTGGGGACCGCCCATCTGCAAGCGTACGCCTCGTCAGCGGAAGGCCGTGGTGGAGGAATGTACCGCTCATACTGCTGGTCCTGATCCTGCTGCCCCTGACGATGTATAGCAGGCCTACCTGGCCTGCCTACATGGATGTGCTCCCAAGACCAATACTGGACATCAAACACACAAAACTAGGTTAATTGTAACTAAGTAAGAACTTTCCGAATTAAATTGTTAACAGATAGGTAGGTTACCTGAAGCAAAAATAACGGTCCGCTGATCTCACGAGAACCCCGGCGGGATGCTCTAACCATGGCCTCCCCACCTTCCATGTCTGTAGGATCAACATCCATGTTATCCAGAATTGTTTCCTCCTCTTCGCTCTCAGCCTCATCATTTGTTTCCCGGAGCGCATCATACAGAGACAACTCGTTATTCACCATATGTTGTAGATTTTCAAGATGATTCACCAATGGTTGAGACGGAAATGTATGATCATCATGCTGCGTAGGTTAATAACTTTGGAGTTGCATGGGAGAAGATATAACTGTGTTCGATGTCGAAGGCCCAGATTGGCCAAACATTGTCGTGGATGTTCCACCATATACAGGTGAAGCTATATGTGAACTCAACGGCATCTGGAACCGATCGTCATGAAGCAGTCTGCTGAAGGACCCCATCCCATATTCAGTTGATGGAATGTCTTGTGAGGGCATTCGGAAGGACTCTGTGTAACCGGAAAAATTGGTAACTTGTTGATCTGGTCGAGTACTTTGTTGCGTACACGTATACACTATTTCTACATATATCTCATGTGGATAACCCCTCATTAAAACAACGCTCCTCAAAGCTTTCAAATGTCTATCGTTAGAACAAGGTAACACTTGAACCGCATTATTAGTCTCAAACCTCATTTGAATGTTAAGTTGTACATTCATTCAGTTTAAGCCAATAATGCTATGAACCTCGTTCATCAGATCGTTGAAAGTCATGTCTGGTCCAAGTGGCAATGGTTCCATATTTCCACCACTATACTGGACATTCGGTCCATCAGACACAAATTCACCCCCCCATCGGCATAACAAAGCTGCGTTTTGTGCAGCCATATTCTATACAACAACCAAAAACACATCTTAATTGCATGCAATCTCCACCAATTCGCACAATAACAACCAAGAAATTCACACTACAAACATAATTAACCATATTCACATAACAACCAAAACAAAGTACACAACGAACATATTCACACTAACAACCAACGTATTCTACATAACATAATTTTCGTAATTAAACGACAATTTAGGCTATTTTATCAAATTAAAACAACAATTTCATCAACAATATCAACAATTTCATCAACATTTTCAACATTTTTACCAAACATTCCCACAATTTCATCATAAACTTTCTTACTAAACTAACATCAATTTAGGGCTTTTATACTAAACTATTATCAAATTACAACAAACTAACTTAGAATTATCAACATAATTATCAATTTACATCAAACTAACTTAGAATAATCAACAACATTATCAAATTAAAACAATGTACTATATAATTATCAAACTAACCTAGGTTTTAAAATTTTAAAAACAAATAAGTGAGAAGTACCAAAAATGTGATTATAAAGAAGAGGAGAGGCGCGGCGGCAGCAGGCAGTAGGCGGCGGCGACGGTGGCAGGCAGCAGCGGCAGCGACGGCAACGGCAGAGCTTTGAGGAAGAGAGAGTTTGAGTTTTTAGTTTTGAGGAAGAGTGAATGCATTGCGTCTGCCTGGAAGAATATACCAGGCAAAACCGCTGACTGAGGCAGCGTGTTTCTAGTATTAATGAAACGCTGCCTGAGTCAGCGTTTTAAGGCCTGTTATAGCCTAACACAAAAACGCTGACTGAGGCAGCGTTTTTGTGTATTTCAGTTTTTTTTATTTTTTATTTTGTATTTCACAAAAGACATAATTCAAAACAAATTAAATAAATAAAAATGAGGAAAAACGCTGACCGAGGCAGCGTTTTACCTCAGAAGCCCAGTTTCGTAAATAGTTTGGCCACGCGTCTATATTCGTAAATAGTTTACCAATAACGCTTAGTTTCGTAAAACGTAGTTTAAGTGCTCAAAGTCAAAACGTTTTCCAACAGCAACTTCTTGAATCATCGCCCTAATTTTTTCCATCTTCCTCCTTACACTACTGACTACCCACTATTCTCTCTCCCCCTTCAAATTAGATTATCCCCAATTTTCAAACCCTAATTTCCCAAACCCTAAATTAATCCCACACTATTCTTAACCACATTCAATAGTTCCTGCAATTCAAATTCAGGCGATGTCGACGGTACCTTCATCGTCATCTGCGTCAATTTCTTCGCAGTTTACATACTCAAACGGATCGTATTTTCCGACGCCGTTTCATCTCCAACAAACTCAATACGCTGCGCCGCCGCAACCGCCGCTTCCTGCCGCCGTCCCCGTCATTCCTACGGCTGCTCCCGTCGTCCCTTCAGCGTATCCTGCCGCACCTGGGGTTTATACGCTCTCCCAATTTCAGCAGGTTGTTAAAGATTTTGATTTCAATCTTTTTTTTTTCTTGTGAATTTTTTATGATATTGCATGGTTTTGTTGTCAGTTTTTAGATATTATGTTAAATTGATAGGTTTTTAAGCTTTATTGTTATTTAAAAATTGAAATTTGATGAATTGTTCGGTGTTGAATGTTGTGGGTAGTTGATATTTTATGGAATTGGAACTTATTAAGGTTAGGATTCAATGTTAGGTTTTTCGGGTGGTGGTTATTTTTATTATGACCCGCGTAATTTACGGGTTTCTAAGTTTTTGTCGAGTAAATGTTGATTCAGTTGTGGTTGTCAAACCATTATTGAAACCAATTTATTGAGTAATTTAGTTTACACTCCTTGGGTTAGGCAGCTTAGCTGCATCCAAATTATCCAGCTTTGCATGGGTTTTGTTGTCAGTTTTTAGAATTATGCTAAATTGATAGGTTTTTAAGCTATTGTTATTTAAAAATTGAAATTTGATGAATTGTTCGGTGTTTAATGTTGTGGGTGGTTGATATTTTATGGAATTGGAACTGGTTAGGGTTAGGAAGGCTAGGTTGTTTCAGGTGGTGGTTGTTTTAATTATAAAATGTTAAATTGACGGGTTAGTGGTGGGTTACTAAGTTTTTTTTGTTGAGTAATTGTTGATTTTCCAGTCGAGGAGGATGGAAGAAATATTAGACGGTAGAAAAAATTGAATATTTGAGATGATAGAACGGTTTTGATTTCTGTTTTTGTGCTTTCCATGGCACAAATTAACATGGGAAGTGGTCTTGTATGGATCTTGTGTAGACATTAGAAAATATCGAATATTTGAGAGGGATAGAACAGGTTAGATTTCTGTTAAATTGTGCTTTCCAGGGCACCCATAATCATAGGAAGTGATCCTGTTTGGATTCGCTGTATCATCTACAACGGCTTGCTTGAAGTGCTTTGTGTTAATCATGGAAAGTCATTTGTTGTTTTCAGGTTAAGTTTTGTCTCTGGTCAACACACGTTAGTTTTGTTGATTCCTAATATATAAGGCTATACTTGATTCTTGCTTTCTTTTTTTTTTTTTTTTTTTTTTTTTTTAAAAACCATACGGCAAATCAGTTATTTCCTTATCCATCATATAATATGTGGTGGTTCTCAAACCATTACTGAAACCAATTATTGAGTAAGATAGTTTACACCTAGGAATGGCAACGGATCGGATTCGGGTCGGATGCGGCTAAATCCGAATCCGAAAAATCCGAATCCGAGTCCGATCCGACTCATAATTTTCAGATCCGAATCCGGTCCGTTTATTCGGACCTCCGAAATGATCCAAATATTTTTGTTCTTTTTTTTTAAATGTGTGATATAGCTATAATTGCGTGTATTGTCATACTGAGTAAAGTATAAACATAATATATTTTTTAAAATATGAACTAAGTTGCATAGCAAAATTTTGCTACAAAACAAGCAAGCAATTGTCAAAAGTTATAAAGCATGTGCTCATACTCTCAGACTCGGGTCGGACTTGGTTGGACTTTGCGTAGGGTTCAAGTCCGATCCACCTCCTATTCGGATTCAGATTATTTTATCGGATTCGGACTAATTTTAAACAGATTCAGATCGGATTTTTTTTCTTTGGATCGGATCGGATTCGAATCAAACTCGGATTAAATTGCCATCCTTATTTACACCCCTTGGGTTGGCAGCTTTGGAGCATCCAAATTTCCACTGGCACAACAAAGATAGAGAGGTTTTAGGGGCAGCAAGGGGGTGGATTGCTGCATTGCTTCCCATCCCTCTGTTGAACTCTGCCTTGCTGCTTTCTTCCCATTGCCACCTTGAATTTCTCCTAGCCAATCTTCCCAGCAGTCAACTATGCCATCCTAAATTTCAATGTAGGAATTTTTTATGGTTGGAAAGTTATTTGCTGTTGTTGTGAATTAAATAGAAGTTGAAATGGACAGAAATACAAGATATCGGGTATCCTACCAATAGCTTTAACGATAGATGTAAGCTGACATCTTATTTTGAGGTTATAATCAGACAGGTCACAATGGAAGTTGTTTGGTTGGTATATGAACTCATAGATTTGGGTTAGTTAATATGAAAGAAATGCAGGGATTATGATGAGTTCTTTTATTTTTAAGTAATTATGGTGGAATGACAAGCTAAATTAATGGAAATAGAATTACCTTTTTTACATGAAAAGAGAGAGAGAGAGAGAGCGAGAGAGAGAGTTTTATTATCCAGGAGAGGATGTTTTTTTTAAGAGATTGTGGATACGGTTGGGTTCAACAAGTGGGACATAATGGTAATATTCATATTTATTACTCCCTCCGTTTTTAAATACTTGCTCCATTTTCCATTTCTTGCCGATTTTAAATACTTGCTCCATTTCCTTATTTGAAAAGTTTTATAATATTTTTTCATTTCTCTCAACTAGTAGACCCAACATAAATTATGTTTTATTAATTTCATATTCTCTCTCCTCCAATTCTCTCAACTACTTTTGCTTTTTACAATTTTTTATTCTTCCACCTGCCCCACTACCTCCATATTTTATTACTGTATCTAATTTTTCCTAAAACTTCACGTATAGAGAAATGGAGCAAGTATTTAAAAACGAAGGGAGTAGAAAGAATAGGTCCAACAAACATATGGTATCTCGAACCAAGTTCCAAGAGAAATGGAGCAAGTATTTAAAAACGAAGGGAGTAGAAAGAATAGGTCCAACAAACATATGGTATCTCGAACCAAGTTCCAAAAGAATACTATTTTGGTCTTATTCCTAATTCCAAATGCATACCATTTGTGTTACTAAATGGCTTTTTTGTCTTTTGGGTGAGAAATAGGAGTTGTCTTCTGGTTGAGTGAGCTCTTAAATAGGCAATACTGAAGTAGTTTAAGAGGTTTTTTGTGACTTTTTAGTTGACCATGTATAGGTATATTATATTTGTCTGTTTTGAATGGGATACCAATTTTGGTGTGGATTCAAGGAGATGAGAGTGGACCCTCGTTTTTTGGAGCTCTTATATACAATATGAATGAATATAAATGGTATACTCTTTAATGTGGATGTAATGTCGTAATGTCAATGTTGTCAATGCCATTGATTTTAACTATTAGAAGTTGTATTAGAAAAATTGAAATTTTGGCGTGGCTTCCTCTCCTCTTTCTTCTTCTATGTAATTATGTAATGGTGGATGGGAAAGCCAACCTTTCCCCCTTTTTTTTTTTTATTTTTTAATTATTAATTTTTTTTACGGTAAGATAAGATTTATCGAAAAGTTATATATGTTTGGGTAGTTCAATCGCTTTGTTTGGTGACTTTGGTAGCCATGTCTTACGATGCTTCCTGTCTGGTACATTATTTTTGTGGAGCGATGTGAAAGGGTATCAATGCCTCATTATTATTTTAAACTTGAACCAAACAAAATCATGGTTGTTATTAGCTGCACTGCTGGAGAATCTTTGGGATATATGTTTATAGTATTATTACTTTTGTCACTGTATTTTATTTATAATGTTATTGGTTTATATTACAGGCACATCAGCTATTTCAAAAGGATGCACAAACTATCACTCCTGAAGCTCTAGAGAGTGTCAAAGCAGCTCTTGCAAGCAGTGACATTGAACATAAAGCGGAAACAAAGAAGAAAGCAGTGCCTCGTAGAGCAGCTGGTCAGGCATGGGAGGATCCAACACTTGCCGAATGGCCAGAAAGTATGTTTATTCTTTTCCTTTTCTGATATACCCTGTATTGGTCTAGTTGTATGTTTCTTGGAATCTTGTTTGGGCGCTACCAACCTGTAAATACAATAATCACTTTTGATTTTAATAATATAGAATTATTGTTGCTATGTCATAAAGAATTATTTTCTCCAACTCTACATCAGTGCCTCACCCTCAGACTATTAACCCTCTGAAATTTGGCAGCCCTTGCATTCTGATCTGGACCTGTACACTAATGAATCTTATGCTTATTTGGTTTTTGACTCGTGCATATTTTGGATGTGTTGTCCACAAATTACGACAAAAGAGTACTGTCAGCTGGGGAACGGCCAAATCTATTGAATATATGTTCAGACCATCGTGTAAGCTGATTTGTTGTCACAATTGTAATTGCATGTAGTTAGTATGTAATTATCACTCACATTGTTTTCACCGACTCGCCTACATCTCATTCTTTTGAAGTTTTTCTGTATCCTTATCAGTGAGGATTCATTGTACTTTAGTACCTTTTCTTGCTTAAATTACCATCTATTAGAATCATTTAAGAGCTGTATATTGGTGTGTTAACCAGGCAACAGCTGGGAATTAAACATGGTAGTCTGAAGCTGAGTGATGGTGAGTAAATTCCTGTAAATGCTACAGAGTTCTTGATGTAGCCAGTTCAATTGATGTCCAAAAAATTGGTTCTTTTATCTCTTCTTCCACAGGAAATTTAGGTTCATTCACTGCTGTCACAAGACTATCTTTTGCAGTTTTGCTTGATTGGGTAAATGTGATATTTCAGACTTCTTTGGTAATAGAGTAATCGTGCAAGGTCTGTGTATTCCAAGAAATCCAGAATTTTGAGTTCTTGTATTGCTAATTTGTCTTTGTGTCTCGTGTATGCAATCTTTTGACACATGTTTCTCATGCTGCTGTATTTGAATTTTGTCGCTGACTGATTTGTATTCTTCAGATGACTATCGCCTATTTTGTGGTGACCTTGGAAATGAGGTGAATGATGATGTCTTATCGAAAGCATTTTCACGCTTTCCTTCCTTTAACATGGCCAAAGTAAGCTACTGTATTTTGTGGTTTTTGTCTGATTTTTCCCATTCCCTTGTTTGTGGAAGCGATTAACTAGGTTTATTTTATTTTTTTTATAGGTGGTTAGAGATAAACGGACTGGTAAGACTAAGGGTTATGGATTTGTGAGCTTTGCCAACCCGACGGATCTTGCTGCCGCTCTAAAAGAAATGAATGGTATGTATATCTATATCTAAAATGGTGATGTGGTGTCAACCGTCTTTCACTGTTTATATTTTTTATTCTATTTAAAGAATGTCTAGCCAATTGTGTGATTGCCTGTTTTAAGATTTTCATTTAATTACATGCATTTAGTTTTTTTTTTTTATCTCATTGCTTCCCGTTCTTCGCCGCTCACCGTGCCTGTTGCTAGAATTTGCAGCCTTGCTGCCAGCTTACAATGGGTTTATTTGAATCCATTACTTGATTTGTTTGGCCGAATTGCATAATTGTGTGATCGTTGCATTCAATTCTTAGATATGTTGTGGTTTGATCATGTAGAAACATATTGTCTTTGAATATAGAGTGATGCATTCTGCTTCTTGCCAATAGTAGAGTTGTATTAGTTGGAAATAGTTTGGAATTGTATCTAATTTATCGACAAATTTTTAAGCTTTCACCCTTGTCAGTTTGTACATTGTTTATAGAATCTGTCTCACACAATTTTTTTTTAAAATTTTATAAAATTCCTGTTTGGCAGGTAAATATGTTGGAAACCGGCCAATTAAACTACGCAAAAGCAACTGGAAGGAGAGAATAGACCAGGAGGCTTTGGAAAGGCAAAAGGTAGTGCTTAATTCCTAAATGTTAGGCATTCTGCATTTGGCATTATTTTCTATTACTAACTTAAACTATAATTTATGTTTCAGCACCAATCCTACAAGAAGCCTAAGCTGGCTAAGAAGAGTGTATTGCACAAGTGACTACAAGCAGTATTTTGATGTAGTAAGTTGCTTCTTTTTACTGTTGCTTTGGGATATCTTACTAAGTAACTTAAGCACTACGTATTTGAACAGAATTAATATTGCTACGTTGCTTATTTTATCTTAATATGAAGTACTTTGTAAGTTCAAAGTTCTTTGGTCTCCCCACATTGTGGCTGAATTGTAGTCTACTCCATTTGCAACAACTTTGCTTCTATACCAGATCTTGTCATGTTTATAATTAGTTTAAATTGAATGCCATCAAGTAAATTTCAGATTCTAACATCCATTGAAGACTTGAAGTCCTAAGTGGTTGTGTGTAAGCTTTCTTGGTAGGTTAACACTCTTAGTAAATTAGATTGTTGTCCTTGATTTATTTTTATTACTGATGATCCTATGCCAAATTCTAAGCTAAAATAGATAAGCAAAATTAGTATGATCAATATTGGTTTGATCTGAACTCAGCAGGGTCGAAAAATAGTACTCTTATTTTTTAATAGAAGTCTCAATTTACCCAAAAAACTTGTCCTTCAATTAAAGTTTTGTTTAATCATCTTTTATTTTACCACCTCCGTTTCGTATTATCTGCAACAAACTTGGTTGCATAATCCCCAAAACAAAATTTCTTAAGCAAAGATTAGTAAAAAAGGGCATGTGATTAATTGGATGAGAGAGAAAATAAACACCACCAGTACCCACCTTGTAACCACCCTCTCACCACCACTAATATCTGAAACCCCACCACAACCACCCAAAACCCACCCAACCAACTCGCACCACCACCAATCGAAGCCCCACGTCATCGGTGACCACCAACGAACGTCACCAGCGACCACCAACGAACCGAAACAACCACCTTACCACCTCCAACAAACCGAAACCCCAACTAACCACCTCTAATTTAGATCTAAACCCCAACTTACCACCACCAAGGAAACGAATTGAAATTCCACCTCACCACTGAAACCCCACCTCACCACCACCAAGATCCGAAACACAGCACCGCCAATACCTCACCCCTTATTGGTTAAAAAAACCATCGAACTATACCTTTCCCAAATTGCGGGTCATAATATGATAAAAGTGTGAACGACGACTTTGAAAAGGGAAAAAGAGGCGGCGGCGGCGAACTGGCAAGGATGAGGTGAAAGGGCGGCGACTTGATCTGAGTGGTGGTGGTGGTTTGGTGGTTGTGAGAGAAGAGTGTTGGTGGTGGTGGTGGTTGAGAAGGAGGAGAGAAAAATTGGTGATGTTGGTGGTGGATGTGGTTGTGAGGGAGGAAAGAGAATGTGGGTTAGGGTTTTAATTATGGATAAATTAATTTGGGTTAAAGAGTTAATATGTTTATTGAAGTTAAGTAAAATTAAGTAAGGGTATGGTGGTAATTTTACACATAAAAAATTACTAAAAGAGGAAACTTTTGGTTTGTTGCAGATGTGTAGCATCCATTTTTGGAAAATGTAGATAATACAAAATTGAGGTAGTATTTTTTTTTTAATTTTTTTTTACTCACAACTTATCAACCAAAACCTCTTGTTTTTCGTATTCTCCTTTGTTCTATTAAACTCCAATATCCTTAAATATTGCACTATTTTTACCTTTAAGGAAGTTTCACAAATATTGTACCATACCCATTTTATAAAAACAAATACCCAATTACCATTTGCTTTGGAGTAATACCCAATGAAATGGGCAAGTTTGTATTTTTCATCTCTCTTTTCTTCCACTACCTAGAATGTCTTAATATTTAACCTTTCTTTGTTGGTGTGCAAAAGACAAACAAGATTTTAATTTGGGGATGGAGGGAGTATGACCAATATTTGATTGATTAATATTAAGCCAACTAGTTATGACAATTTCGTGACTTAAGGCGTGTTTTTTTCATTTTAAGAACATAAGCTTCATGCCCAATAAGTTCAAATAAGTTACAATCAGTTCCTATAAGTTCCCCTAAATTCTAATTAGATTGGGTATATTAAGTTCTAAGGGGCCGTTTGGTTCGCAGGGGGTAATCGGAATGGAATGAACAAAGGGAATAAAAGAGAATGGAATGAAAAACCTTTCCAAGTAGTATGTTGTTTGTTTTTAAAAAAAAAAGAAAAGGAATGAGCCACCAGTCCACCACCACACCACCACCACACAATCAACTCATTCCTTCAAATTTCCAGCCATCACCCAGCGAGCCCACCACCTAGTCACACTCGCCGCCCCTAGTCGCACCTCCCCCACCCATCGCCGCCGTTCTTCGCCACCCAAAAACCCTTCCCCTCCCCCCAAAAAACCGCCAACCTAGGGTTTCGAGGGTGGCCGACGGTTTTTACAGGGTGCAGGAGGGATTTCTAGGGTTTTTTGAGGGGAGGGGAAGGTTTTCGGGGGGAGGGGAAGGGTTTTTGGGCGGCGAAGAAGGGCGACGAGAGGAAGGAATGGTGGGGTTATTTGTGCGGTGGGGGAAGGCTTTTAGGGGAGGGGAGGCTTATTGGTGGGCGGCGATGGTTGGGGAAGGGGCGGCGACGGCGGTGGAGGTGCGATTGGGTGGTGGGGGTAAGGTAAAAGGGTGGTGGCTAGTGTGTGTGGTGGTGGTGGAGGGGTGGCTAGGGGAAAGTGAATGCAAAAGGTGGGGGGGGGGGTGGGGAATGACTTTAGAACAATTTTGGGTAAACCCAAAAATAAAAATGGAGAATGGGAATGACGAAACATGCAAAACAAACACTTACAAAGGGAATCATTTCCATTCCCTTTCCCCATTACAGCGAACCAAACGGCCCCTAATTAAATTTGATATGTAGTAATGTTTGAATATGACATTGCTTGCATGCTAATGTGCTTTTTTTTTTTTTTTTTGCTTTGCAGACAACTGGTGTCAATTGAAATTTGAGGAACCCTTATGTTCCTATGATTGGTTGGATATGAGAATAACAGCTGGTCGATGGATACTAAAAGAATAGCAAGATTCCTGTATTTTGTATCCTAGTTTATTTGAATGTATATGTTATGGATCTTGCATTTGAAATGATATAGAAATTGCCTGTTACGCTGATTGTCTGATTGACTCCTACAATTCAGTCTGAACTTTAAAGTTCTATTGTCAATGCTAATACTATGCTTGAATATTGTAGAATATCATTTTCTTGTCTGCCACTCAATAGTAATAACATTTACAATAATTGAAAGACCATTCTAACAGATTGGTTTATCTGCTACGTTTTTTTTTTTATTTGTTGTGTGCGTGTAAGCGTGTTTGCTTGTGTGTGCAAGGATTATTGCTGGTCCAAATTTGAAATGTTAAAAAATAAAAATAAAAATTCTGGTCACTGTCTCACAAGGCAAATCATCATCTATTGTTGTAATTTTTCTGGTCAGTGATTCTACTGTGAATTGTCAAGTCCACTTAACAATTTGAGAAAAAAAACTATACATCTATGAAGACCATTCTTAAGAATAGTAGTTGATAGAGGTGTCCACCGTACGGGTTGTGCGAGCTGGGTTAGGGTTAGGTGGGTTGGGGTTTCATGACCCGACACGACCCATGTAAGGTAGAGTGGGCCGGGTCGTGTTGGGATAGAGAAATTGGACACACCAGGGTTGGGTTCGTGGGTTTGATGGGTCGTGGATGGGTCGAGCTGGGTTCGTGGGTTAGACGAGTCGTGGGTGGGTCGAGCTGGGTTCGTGGGTTACGTGGGTTGGAGGGTGGGTCGAGATGGGTCGGAGGATGGGTCGAGCTGGGTGGGTTAGGGTCGGGTGGGTTCGTGGGTTAGGGTCGGATGGGCCAAATGGCTAAGTGGGTTGTGTGGGTCAAATATCTAAATATGTTTTTTTTAATAGTTTTGAACTTTTTTTTCTGAAATAATATTTTGCACATTTTTATTTTTAAGGTTGTTTAATTTTTACAAAATTAATAATTTGACGGCTTGCTCTTAATTAAGATGCCTACGTATCCTTGTATCACAAAATAAGGAATCAAAACCAACGTAATTCTTATAATTCTAAAAGATTTTCCAAACCTTCAGCTTTGACATCGGGGTCAAGAATAACAGTGATTCCATAAATAATTGGGAATTCACTAAAATAAGTATGTCACTTACATTTCATGCTATCAAGAATAGGATGAAGTCTATCAATTTTCATATGCTCTTCGATGGTGTGAACAACTTTAACACACTCCAATATGACTAAATGGATGTCAGGCTCATAGATATAAGAGAAAATATAAGTTGCATCATCAAAAGCATTTAAAACATCACGAACAAAAGAGGCATTAGTCCAATGACTTTCGAATATTAACTTACTAGGATCAACACAGGTCTCATTGTAAAGTTGGGTCAAAACGTCACGATACTTTATAGCATCATTCAACAAATTGAAAGTACAATTATATTCCAACGGGTAGGGGTATCAATAGATCATTGTCTTTTCTTAAGACCTCTCTCTTTACTCGTAGCCATGTACTTCCATCTAACTGAAAAAGTTTAATTCATTTTATAACAGTTTGATCTAATTGAGTTTAGCAATGGTTGCAACTCACCGAGACCCTCTTGAACAGACAAATTCAAAATATGTGCACAACATCTAACGTGCAAGAGATTACCACCCAACAACAGATTCAACTTAGAGGCATTTTTCAAATAGTCAATACACATTGTGATTGCAGTTATATTATCAAGAGACAAAGAAAAAACTTTACCATTCAAGTGAAATCCTCTTAAACAATCCATAATACGAACTTTGATGTTAAAACCGGTATGCCTTTCTTCCATTGCTTGAAAACAAAGTATATGTTTTTTAATAAACCAATCATCATCCACCCAATGAGCAGTAATGCAAAGAAAAGATTCGCTAAAACAAGAAGTTCATGTATCACTTGTAAAGCTAACACAACCATCAAAAGTACAAAATAATTCAATCAAACCACTCCTATACTTATAATAAGAAGTTTATGTGGGCCGTGCGGGTTGGGTGGGCATGCCATGTGGGTTAGGTGGGTCGTGCGTGCGGGTGGGCTGAGTTGTGGGCCGTGCGGGTTGGGCGTGCAAGGTGGGTTGGGTTGTGCAAGCTGGGTCGGGTTGGGTGGGTTCACAGGCTAGGTGTGTTGAATTAAATGGGTCAAAACAAATTGTGCGAGTTGGGCCGAATCAAACGGGTTAAAGCGAGTTGGGTTGAAATGGGTTGTGTCGAAAATTTTGGACCCACGACACAACCCTGGCTAAACTCGGGCTGTGCTGGGTTGGTACCGAGTTGAAACCGGGTCGGACCCACGTGACCACCAGCCGTGGGGTCAGGGTGGGCTGGGTCCAACTCGGCCCATTGACCACCTCTGGTAGTTGACAATGTGATTTATTTGAATATATTCCTTTCATCCCTTGTAAATAGCCCAATCACAATTGTTTAAGTTGAGTTTTAAGATTTTCCGTTTGATTCATAGAAAATGATATTGGAGATGGAATCTACTTTCTCCATTCAACAAATATTGGAACAACCGTTTTAGGAAATTTCATAATTATTGTAACATTTTCTTATTTGCACATGTATTCTTTCTCTCTCTTTTCATCACTAGTCTCTATCTTTATTCCTCTCTATCTCTCATCTTCTTATAATCCGTATCCCATCCACATGTTGCAATATTTTGGAAACGGAAGTATTATTTTAAGAAAAAATATACGAAGTATATATATACTTCAAACATAATGTGAATTTGGTTAGTTTTGCCTAGATGTTAAGCAACTAACAAAAGATTGATAATCAAAATAGTTTCTAAAGAACCCATGTAAACTTTGACAAGTAGCTCTAATCAAAGTTGAACAAAATTTGGAAGGGTTAATTCCAACTCTGACAGCAAGATTCAGTTATAATTTAAATTTTAATCTACTTTAATTTCATTTTTTCTTTTTTTAGAGGGAGAACTCAACTTTACTCGAGGATAAGAATGTGATCATTGCATGCATAAGTTGATGGTTTCCAACCCTCATTCCTATCTCCTCCACATCTACCTCTCTTTTTTTTTTTTGGTAGAATCTCCCTCTCTTCTACTCTCTTTGTTTCAAAATAATCCAACGTTAAATTTTTAAATAATTATTATACGGTTTTGTTGAAATTTGGCAACCGGACCGAAGTTGGATTGAGTAGAAGTCTATACCAAAAGTCTCCTGCCATTATAACAGAAAATCAAATGTAAAACCATTTTGTGGTCTACTAATTACCGGGTAAATTAATCAGCCAAACAAACAGTTATTAAGCGACTTGAAAACTGTTTACAATGTAGATGACAGCTAATCTGCCTCCTATCTTCAAGGCCTCAATGAAAGAAAAAGAAAACAAAGGGCCTTCATCTAAATAGAATGGACAATATTTGATATAAATTTTCTAAAAAAATTTCCTAATCACTATATTTAAAGCTTACTAGTATGTTGTATAATATTTAACCAACCTGTGTTAATGGGTGAAGATGATAGGCATATATACAGCAGCTATTGAAGAGACCAAAAAAAATGAAATCTTCCACCTTATGGATGCTTCTCAACAATCCCCCCCCTCAAAAAATCAAAAAGATTGTGCTTCCTCGAAAATTTATGTCATACCATTCGCAGAAAGCCACGGACTTCAACCAAGAATTCAAGAAGATTTTTTCTGAACCTTTGGTGATTAATACGATCCAGTGTGGAAGAAAGCTGGTTAGAGCTAGTAAGAGCATGTAATGCATTTGTTAGTCTGGTCTGGAACGCTGGATTTGTTTGTTTATCTATCAGCTCACTGCATAACCGCTGAAATAGCAGAAAGTTTTAAAGATTAGTAACAGCAAATACGTCCAAAGAAGATTTAGAAGAGTAGCTTTGCCTCAAAACAAATCAAGTAGCATAACACAAGTTTTTGAGCACCAATACAAAGATGATTTAACATGTGATAGGGGTAGAAAAACCATGTTCCCATCATGCAGAATCTAGTCCAAGCTGATTTAACACAATTTTCATTGTCCTCGCTCATAAAAATCCTCACCTAATTTACCACACAAACCACTAAATTATCATAATTTATACTCCTATTTGTTGTTTCTATTTGGAACATGGGTACAAACCAAGGAAAAGTGGATAGAGATTATATAAATTGTGTTAGTAGAACGGAAGGAGTATCAAAATAATGTAAAGTTAGTAGAGTTAGTGTCATAAGTAACTAGCAATTAAGATCATCGGTATCTTTTAATATTTATTTTCACTTTTCATCAGCCATTAAGACAGGTCATCATTTTGTGTTTGAGAAATGCAAAATTTTTCTGATAATTCAATATATCAATAGAGATCGAAGACAAAGCCCAGCCAGCAACTGGAATTATGCTTGTAGCAAGACAAGAGCTCTACATACCCCTTATGAGTTATGAACATATGAGACCAAGATATCTAGAATATATAAACTTCTATAGTACACAGCCACAACAAACAGACATCCAATATTTCAATACCTTAAATGGATGAAATGAATTGACGCCAAATTTGATCTCAAAAAAGGTACCAAATCCTTCAATAGTAATCTTAAAGTCTATAATTCATATTTCAAACTTGGCCTCAACTTTGAGTGATTTATGCCAACCACAAAATCTGCAGATATGCCGGGACAGAGTTCAATGTGCTATAAGATGAGATGGTTACCTGATATAGACTTGGCTCACAAAGAATTAAAGGAAGGAGAGCATCTGCTGCTGCACTCACCAAGTCAGTGCTAAAGTCCCCAAAAAAGGAAAAGAACAAAAAGAAAAAAGGTGAAGTTAGAAAGTCAATGAAATGCCCAAAACATGTCAGAAAAAGTAAAAAAAACAGCCTACAACAGGAGATTAGAACAGAGATTTATATGATACAATACCATTTACATATCCATACCATAAAAGTAAGTTTTGTAGTTACTACAATTCTTGTCATCCTTAAGCAGTTTTACTAATCAGTTGCCTGATTCTACAAGCTTCAACTCATGTAGGTCAATCTATTGTACACGGAGATCATTATGAGTTGCCTGAAGATCTCACCTCAAAGTGTTTGTTTCTTATATGGAGTGTGGGTAAGTCTATTAACTCCATGAGTAGCCTGAATTTAATGACGAAATCATATCTACTTTGCCTGGAGGCCCCTTACTACAAAATTACGTAGTGTTCATGATGAATGGAAGAAGGGAAAACCTTTATACCTAAATGATGCCCCCATAATAGGCCAGGATGGTAGGAGATTATATCCTTAGCCACGAAGATAGCAAAATTTAGAGTGGAGGCAACTGTTCTTAAAGGTTGCCTGATGCAAAAAAAAAAAAAAAAAAAAGAAGCTAAAATTATCAATTTATCGACAAACTTATACCTGTAATCCTCAAACAGAAGTAACTGCAGCAGGGAAGGAAGGAAGCGACTCAAAATTCCTTCCTGAACATTCTCCCCCGTATCCTTGACACCACTAGCAGCATGTGAGCCTAGACCCACGTTTCCAGCAATAGTTTCTTTATAATGAAATGAAGCAAGGGCTTTCAAAGCTCTCAGGCACTTGTAAAAAATTTCAGAATCCTGCACCACAACAACGTAGAGGAACAGATGCATCAATGCCTGGTATATTAATAAGAAAACAGAACTTTATCGGTGGTTCTCCAACTATACTGAAGCTAAAAATGACAGCCTCGCTAACAAAGTAACATCCAGTGGATATCTGATTCACCCAAAACTAATTGGACTGGAAGTCAATGATCCTTGATGGTTTTCTTTATTTTTTATTTTTATTGTACAAATCTATTGTTTTTCCTTTTGAAGACTGGGTTGAAAACAGATGTATATTTCACAAGTAGAACATGAATGAAGCTCCATCATTCATTCATTCATTCAATGTCGAATTTCTTTTGTTCTGCAGTCAACTGTGTAGTAAATTGCAACTTGATTATAGTTTAAAGATACTTATGGTGCATTTGAAAGTAAACATATAAGTAGAAGGCTAGGATCAATACCATCTTTATATTCCTTCTTTCTTACTCCCAACGTTTCATATTGTTCTTCTCACAAAGAATCTTTTTGTGAGACAAATTTGGTCAAAGTAGGAAGAACAACATGAAACAGAGGGAGTATTATTCAACCTTGAGATAAATAAAATGCACTTCCCTGACTTGGTAATACTTCCAAGAAAATAAAAACCCTTACCTGATGGCGAATGCCAAAGTCCAAGGTTCCAATTATATGCGCCAAAGCTTCTGCATTAAGTTGACCAACCATTTCTGGATAAACCTCCAACATGTGTGACATCAATGAGAAGTACTGCACAAGAGATCACTGAAATATCAAATTCCATAAGTAAATTCTAAAGCTTGCAATGTACACATGCAGAGTAAACAAACTTACATCATGACATAATTTAGGGTACTTCAAAAGGTCAATAGATATCAAAGGAGTGATTATGTGGAGACCAACAAAGACAACCTGCATCAAATTAGACACAAAAGTCATCGTCATTAATATCATCACAATTGTCAGTATGCTCATCCACTTTATGACGTGTCCAGTTCTATTATTAGTTAATTGACACTTGTCACAGCCAGTAAGGAGTAAAAATAGCTTTAGTTAAGTGGAGGTGAATATAAACCTGAGCAATGCTTATAGCCTCTGACTGGACAGAGTCAGTTGAGAAGTCAATCTGTAAATTATCAATACTCAGTCACAACTTGCAGAGAATGGGTATGTAATTAGATTCATTCTGACTTGCAGAAGCAATCATACCAGATCTTTTGTGCAGAGGCTTGCAAGTAGCTGAATTAAAGCACGCAGATCCTTATATTTCTCAGTATTTGCTTCGCTGGCTAAGGTCTTTGAATGACTAATGGAAATCTAAATCAACAGGAGGAAAAGTATGTGTTCAATACCAAGACAACAAAAATGCACAATTATAAAATATACATTGGGAGACCGTCACAACAGGATTCTGTGAGCATAGTAAATTGGATCCTAGTGAGCACAATAAATTGTTAGCTTATCAAAATCATAAGCAACAGGAAAGCCAGTAGGTTTCTAATTCTTTCTAAGTTACGAATCAACATTATGATCAAACAGGAAGCATACCAACCAAAACACTTTTGGATTGGAAATGACTAAAGAGGAAAGGAGTCAATTCTTGGCCTTTCTGACTAGTTTCATCTGTATTAAAAAAACACATGATAACAATTGAGGCAGGCTATAAATGTCAGGACTTGACCCAATGATAAGCGACTACAGTTAGTTTCTTTTGTAATTGGATGTACTAGAATTTGAATAAACACTCTCCTAAATAATTTGGTCCAGCTCCTTTTAAAATATACTAGCCCTTCAGAAAATGATTGGTTCCAGCAACCACTCGTGGTATTAGCAAATATTTATAATTTTTCTATCCAAAGGCATTGTCCATACAACAAACCTTCAGCTCACACCCAAGTTTATAACCTTTGATTTACAATAACCCCTCCTCGCCAACCAACCCCCCCCCCCCCCCGACGCAAAAAAATAAAAATAAAAAATAAAAAATCCCAGAAGACTCCCTTGACAACATCCATCCTAACAGTCGTGAAAAAAGCTTATGTCAAATCCAACAACTCATAAAATCACACAGCCCTTCAATCCTCCACCTCTTCAATACATTCATTTTAAACTAGTAAGATAATTTTAAAATTCAACGACAGCCAGCACAATAAAGATTCAATTTCAATCTACTATGGCACTAATCTTAAATCTATAAAAGTTATATTATAAAGAGTAATAGTATGCTGCACAAGAAAAACGGTAGTTACATTTCCAAGATAAAACCTTTCCTATATTGTATTCACCTCTTTGTCTCTACCTCCACTCTCCACAATTGTCATTGTTGACCATGACATGACTTGTCATCATCTCTCTTTCATAATCAAAAGCCATAAAATCTCAAATTCTCAATATAACATCTCGACAATTGGAGGCTTAAATAGTAATTCAAAGGAATTTTTTTATGTAAACCCTTGAACTGACATAGGCGGACTCTTTTAGCAGGAAAACAAAGTATGGACAGCAAGGTTGATTAAAGTTTGTGAAAAGAGCAGGTAAATAAGATTTATCCTGTCAGGCATCTTAGTCTGGTCTTACCCTTGCTGCTCCCATGTCCATATCCAGATCATCGCAGGTCATTGTGGATGTGGTATAACAGCAGATTCCAAGAATCAGATTTCAACCCCTTGATTTAACTATTCATACCGGGCATCCTTAAGGATACAAGAGTATTACTTGCACCATTTCAGCCTCACATTCTCACCCTTACTCATGGCCTCACCCTTTCGCCCAAAATTAATCGTCTAAGTCGATTGCAAAATGAATCACTCCACTTTGCAGGCTTTACGAATACACCAATTTCCATAAATCTCATCACTAGGTGCCAATACTTCTAGTTCATATTCTCATCTCTGTTATAACTAAACAACTTTGGTTTGTACTGGAGGCAATGCAACTGACATATGAGCAGCTCACCAAAATTGAATATAAGGGTGTTAGTACGTCAGGGGTGTTTTATGCTTGTTGTGGATTTAGAACCTTGGTTGTAGGTCTTTGGTCTTTGCACCACAAAATTGTGATTTTTCCAAAAAAAAGAGGATCGATTTAATGATCCAGCTACACCAATTAGCAATATAAGTTCAATGTCTCTTTTCAAAAACACATTTGTAAAGATAATAATAAAATATAAAAATGAAAAAGGAAGAGTGATGAATAAAGTGTTTTGTAATTCACACTTATTTTAATCACAGATATACGTTTAGGCAAAGAAAACTTGAATAATCTTTAATTAGATTTAAAAGTTAAAACACTGCACATACCCAAAAAAAAAAAAGGTTCACGGGGTAGCACAAGCACAAATAATATCATAAAGGGGAGCATAAACAGTTGCATCTATCTTTGTCACATGTCTTCCTTTATTTTGGCAATGTCAAAATATTAATTCATATAGTAGGACATAAACAATACTTACAGAGATATAATCCATTCGTAATGAATATTATTCACTATTGCATTTTCCAACATCTAACAAAAACAATTTAGGATAGATCATTGCTGAATTAGATTAGATTGCAGAAAGATAACATTAAGTGTCATCCCATTTTATTATAACTAATTTCCCTATTGCCAATAATTTCTTCTACTCTTCAGAGCACTGCCCCCCATGCAAATAAAGAGGAGTTTTAATTACCACAAAAATCTTGTTCATCATTCCTAAAACCAGGGTAATGCATTCATAAAGCCGAGGACAAACACAAGCTTTAGAAATTTACCTTGCCAATGTTGTGGGAGGAGTATATCTGAAGCAAACGCATACAGAAGTTGATGAGAGTAGCAGTTTCTTGAGCCTCCAGGTAACTAATTTGGCCACTTACCCACTGGACAACAAATTTGAGCAGCAAATAGACAACTGCAGGCTAAAGAAATACTAACATTAGCTCTGATAATAGAGCATGTAGAATTTTTTTTATACAAAAAAGTGAAATCTTAATAAGTGATTAATCTAAAACCAGTAGAAAGAGTCTCCTTCAAATGATGCAACCAACATAAATACTTATGTCTCCTAACAAAGGTTCACCAAATCCTTTCAAAGTTCCACCTTATTCATGCATCATATATTCCATTAGCATCATTATTATTTCAAACAGCAAGTTCCATCAGCTAAATATAATTACCACCTCAAACTTTCTATTTTGTCAAAGCTTGGCCAAGTACTACCAAAGAAAGAAAATCAAGAGCCTTTGTAATTTAATGCTCATATTTTAAACATTATGATTTTGCTTGAGAGTTTAGATGGTAGTATAAAGTAATGTGATAAGCAGTGCAGAACTGTAACAGGAATTAAGCAGTGCAGAAGGAAGCTGGCTTTCAAACCAGATCACAAGGATCACAAATCAATCAAGGTCCAATTAAGATCAATACCAAAACTGTAACAGGAATTAAGCAGTGCAGAAGGAAGCTGGCTTTCAAACCAGATCACAAGGATCACAAATCAATCAAGGTCCAATTAAGATCAATACCAAAACTGTAACAGGAATTAAGCAGTGCAGAAGGAAGCTGGCTTTCAAACCAGATCACAAGGATCACAAATCAATCAAGGTCCAATTAAGATGAAACCAAGGTTATAATAAGCAATTTTAATAAAATTAGAGGTCCAATCATCACAAAGAATAAGATTGAGGGGAATGATTGTAAGGTTATCACATAACTTTTTATTAACATTGCCTCTGTTATACACTATTATCTTTCTCCATATTTCTATATTCCAAACTGATTTGTCTTAAATGATCACAACCAATCTATATCTTTAACTCATTGGCCCGCCAAGCAATTCCATCCCAAAATAAAGAAAAAATTTACTACTGGCATGGGTATTAAGAGTGCTCATGTGACTAGAACTCTTTCCCTTCACTTACCTTAATCCAAACCTTTTTAAATTGGAGGGGCATAGTGAAGAAAGCATAACTTTAGCAACCTTGAAAAAGAAAGTGAAGGAAGTAACACTATTCTTTCACCCTAAAATTGGAAAAAAAAAAAAAGCTAAACAAATTATTACTAGATAAATATCATCATTACCTCATTCTTGTAAACTTCAAGAAGTTTTATAATAGAATCCATTACAGAAACTCCCATCTCATAAATTGCCCTTTGTGTCCGAGGTTCTGAGGCACTAGCAGATCCACGTAGCCGCTCCAGTAAGCAACACACCTGTGAATCCAAAAACAACATCAAAAAATTTACAAATCAGGAAAGTTCTCTTTCTCATAGGTGGTCACTTACCACCATGATAGTCTCTGGTTGCTGAGAGACATTCTTGATATCATGTTTTCCCGACAAATCCAGAAGATAAGCCGTCATATGATTCATGAGATCTCGAACATACCTTCAATATACCATACCATGTTATCACTATATGTCCAATTAATCATCCATCAGAGTTTAGAGTAAAAGGTGTCTTCTGAACCAAGGGCCTGAATTCTTAATTGTGTGACTCAAGATCTCCTTTGGATACAGACATCCCATGTGTGTCTTTCAAAATAAATATCTTCATTGCTTCAAAGAAAAGGAGTCTTACTGATTTGATGTCTCAAGATCTCTCAGTGCAGAAGCCGAAAGAACAAGAGTTCGTGCAAGGGATCGCTGCATAGATAATGTGGATATTACAATAATAGTCAGTATTCTTCAACATTTAGATAATAAGAAGCCCATAGGTTGGATACTTACTTGGTGAGGAGCACTCAGTGAGAACAAATTTCTTTCATTGACAAAACATTTTGCCAACTCACGCCATGAATCCTACAGTATACAAAATTAAAACTTAATTCCAGTTCTGTGTTTTGCCTCCAGAGAACAACAAAGGTAATTTAGTTTGTGTTTGTGTGTAATTCTCTATCTTCCTAGAAGCAAACCAGCCAGCTTCCCAAAGAGCTTAGAAGCTAATTTCAACAAGCAAGAACTTCAATGTAAAAGCTGTAGGGATATACACTTCAGATATAAACTTGCACAAGTTGAAGCAGCCTTTACTAAGTGAGATTCTTTCAATTTCGCCATCTCATTTCAACACAACAGTACTATGGTTGGAGCATATCAAATTTTATACCAGGCACTGAAAATTAAAACACTCTTTCCAATGAAACCTCCAGGGTTTAAAATCAAATCTTCATTCAATCCTAATAATATACTGTGCTACATATATTTTTACCTACATACATTTATTCCACTAGTAAGACACTTGGAGCAATTTTAAAAAAAAAATACATTAGTAAAAGAGAAGAGAACCAAAATCATATTAATAGTTAGAATTTCCAGATTCCCTGGTACACCCAGACATACAACAGACAAAAATGAATTCTCAAAACACCTGCAGCAGAAATCTTAATCCATACAAACCACTATGTGCATTTCTACAAATCTACCCTCCTCGTCCCACCCCCTCCATGCCACTCTGATAAAAAGAGAAGAAAATTCAGTCTGCCCTTAATACTTGAGAAATAGAGGGGGCTAGCAATACCAAATACACATGCACGAACTCTATGAATCAGGCGCTAAGTGAATTTGATATCACAAAAAAAATTAAATTTAGGTGGTCAATTGTTACATAGCAGCAAAGCAATAGACAGTAAAACAGTTAGAACTAGAAACTACCAGAATATCTTGATTCCCAGCAAACTCAAATCTTAGTCAATGCCAGTATGACAAAACCATCAAACATAATAAAAATGTCAAAGGGGTGCAAAGAAATAAATTTTGAGTTATGTAAATATAGAGTAGAGTGCTGCACATTACTCACCAAATAAACAAGGTGGGCACCAATATCCCGATACCCAACTAGTCCATTGAGTAGATGGCGACAGGTAAGCTCCTGAAAGTCAATGCGACATCAGATGTAAGATATGGCTGAAGAGTAGCAGTGAGAAAGCTGAATAGTAGCAGTGAGAAATTATATTTTGAATCTTTTTATGCACTATGATTCGATAGTGAATCCTTAAGTATTACAGGAAGGTGAATCAGATAACAAGATCACCTATTATCAAGGAAATTCAAACATCCTCACCACTACAAACAAAAGAAGGATATAAAGAATTTGATGTTGAAAGTCATAGAGAAATATGTAAATAGACACCAAAAAGGTGTCACTCACATACAAAAGGAGAGCTAAGGATCACCTACCCACCCCCTACCCCCACCCAAAAAAAAAATAAAAAAAAAAATCCCAGAACAGTTATGATTGCCAGATCAAGAAGCATCAAGAGTCAAAATTAACTCTAGGCAAAAGGCTTCACAACTTGCATACTGCTAATTTCTACATTTATTAATAAATCAGCAGCAAATCATTCGCCAATATGTATCCTAAATACAAGTTCATAAATCATTGAGGATTTCCAACATTAGTACAAATAAAATAAAAAATAATTAATCCAAACAACTACAGCTCAAGAAGGGTGAACAACTCAAAACTGAATAGATGGTTTTTGTTACAAAAATGCACTGAAATACAATCAGGCAGTATTTTTCCAGGGCTATGGATAAATGAAATCCAGAGAAGAATCCAGATGCAACACTTGAGGATGCCTAGAAATGCAATTAGATATTAGTGTACAGAGGATATTATTCATTAAAAAGAAAAGACCACAGTTAAAACAATTGTAAGGCAATTAGCAGCTCCCTCACTACCTGCAAATCCTTCTCCCCTGGATAAGAAATCAATGTCGTCATGGATATTCGAACAACAAGATCAAGGACAAGTTTTCCTTGATTAAGTTCTCCAAAAAAGTCCATCAATACTTTTTTAGAATGCTGAAGCTGCTCCGGAACATGAATATTAGCATTATTCCCACAACCTTCAGGTGACATCAGATACGTACGAGACCATCGGGCAAGGAACCATATTACTGCCTGAAAATACCGTCTGTTACTGCTCAAATAAACACTGAAAGACTTTACACGTATACAGCAAGGGAGGACCTTGTCTACTAAGTATATCCATGACAAGTTGACAACTACATGGATAATTTCCATACATCAAGGACATACATGCCATCACACTCAATTTATAAATGAAATTTCCAGTAATGAAGTTGCCCCTCTCCCTCTTCTTTCTCTTGAATTTATCATCAATTCCAGGCCAATCATTGATCATCAATAGCTAAAACTAAATAAAAAAGGAACATGTATGTGTGCATCATATTATGCGTAAATGCACCTGGACGTGTGAACAAATACTATTATACTGGAGTGTGACCTGTACACAGGTCATATTTATCATTTTGGACCAAAAAAACATGGATAATTTCCATATAAAATCTGAGTCTGACACTAAGCCAAATCCCCGTGTAGGACAAAGGTATGCACAATTTAAATAGAACAAATATATATACATAAGCAATTTTGTATGTATAAATCTATATTTGTAATGATTTAGAGATTAGATTTTTCAAGACAAATCATCAGGCACATTCAAACAACATAAAATACAAGTTGGGTTATTTTGATATGGCAGAGATTAGCTGTTCCTAAGCATAGATTTACAGCATAAATAGCCAATCAACATAGGCTACCTACTAAGGAGAGGTTATATAAAATTAGGGTTATCCAGATGATATTTGCCTCATTTGTAGGAATGCAACTGAAACTCGGAGTCACATGCTTTTTGATTGTCAGTGCAGCAAGAATTGCCTCATTAAGTGTTGCCATGGTATGGCTGAACATTAGACGACAATTTAAGAACTTTACAGGCCTGGTCAGATGGACCTGAAGGAGGCAGTGAGGGAATAAAAATAATCTTGAAAAGGGGTGATTCTCACTGGAATGCTAGCCATTGATTATTTTTTTGTGGGCCTCTGGAATCCCAAAATTCATAGAGGATATACTAGTAAAGCACAAGATACATGATAATTGAAATAGGGTAAATGGTATAATTAATCAGAAAATCAATCCTAGTGACAAAGCTTAATTTGCATCATTGTATTGTAGATAGTTTGTACAGGCTTTTTAGCTTGGTTGTTTTGTCCTGTATCCTGGTCCTTTCTAGAAGGTTTGAAAGATTGGTGAAGAGTATAAAAGCTAAAGCTTTCTTACCAGGGAACTTGGGGAACATGCCAATGAAGGCAAAATTAGAAAAGCTAGTATTTTTGGATTAAGTCAGGAGCTCAGGACATCATAATACTGAACTGACTACCTACATACACTTTGGTGCTCACCAGCGTAATACATCAGCAGTATACTATTGTAACAGGATGAACAAAAGGAAATGGCACATCATGACATCATGTTTAGTGTCTGCACATTAGTGTTAGAAGACAGACAGGCAAACAGGACCGATTATAATAGCAAAGTCTCAACACCAATCATCGCAGAAGAATTGTATCCCACAGGCCACAAGAAAGAAAACACCAAGGAAATTTTTTAAAACTCACAGCACATTGTTAGCATATGAAAGTTTTGTCATCAAGGTTGTACCTCCATAAGACGAGGGCTAAAAATCGATGCTCTAACTTCTGGATCAATACTCTGCTCAGCAAAACGTAAAATGGAACTGCATCAAACAACAAAGCCAACATGGATATATGATACACCAATAAAGATAAAACCAATGTCAAGCACATGTGACTCATCAGTTATCACAAAACATAAAATTAATTAGACTAGTCTCAAGTCAGAAGAATGTGGCACTAGAAGGCCAAAATAATGCAAGAAAGCACAGATGAACTCTGCAGGCTTTGGCCTTGGCATAACAAAAGAGGATGGAGTCAACAAAAGCAAGAATAAGAAATCCATCAAAGACACTATTGTCATCTTTCAAATCAAGGGTTTAAGGAAAACAGTTTCTTGGCAATTGTAGCTGTTAGGTGTAACACCCTTCCACATTGAGAGACTAAGAACAGAATATCTTATCCATCCAAGATCCAGCATCCAGCAAAAGTCCATAAGAGTTGCCTTTTCGAACTAAAGTGGTCCTTTTCTAAAGCATCTAATGTCGCAGGGGACTGATCTTCCCAGTTCTCACCAGTGAGATGTGTTGCCAAAGCTTAGTGTTTAATTATAATTAATACTGCCTCTTTAAAGGTTGGATAGAATTTGATGCTTTAGAACCAATGCCCAACAATGAATTAAGCATGCAAATTAGTTCAACTAATTAAAATTTGTCAAAAAATGTTTCTAGCCGAAAATTGTCATTTACACATGAAGGCAGCAATAAATTCCACAAAATTCCAAGTCTAACATGAGAAGTCACTAAAGAGACAGCCACCATCAATCAAATTCATGTGCAGTATAGGTTATATTGTGAATTGGCTAATTAATGATCTCTTATAACAATTCATAGCAATTCAAGCTCCAACGAATTTCAAAAATAGCATAGTAAGAATGAGTATAGCATATCTCAATATTAAAAATATAAAAAAAAAAAAAAAAAACTGAAAGTTTCATAGCATTATTTCCAAAGGACTTCTATAGTTAATCACCAACTAAATCTACCTTAGCAATCTCTTTCCCTCTTTATCCTCCGTTTCTCTTTCCTTTCTCTTTCCATAGCCCCTGATTGGCTCTTTTTTTTTTTTTTTTTTTTTCCCTTTGATAAACTCATTATGTACTTTGGTTTCAGCCAACCATCATTACAACTTCCCTCAAATGCCTTTCATGATCATATGATCAAAGCCAATTATCCAGCATGAAAAAATCTAGCACCATTTAAACAGCTGCTTACTTATTAACAATATACACATCTTCATCTACCAATGTTGTACCAAAACCCTGTGTGTCTAGACTGTCTACCTAGTACCTACCAACTTCATAGATAGCCATTACCAGTCCCTCACGTTTTGGATAAAACAAACAAAATGATCAGAGGTCAAAAGTTGAAAAAGATACATATTCACATAGATGTTCATCCCTAACACTTACTATTTCTACTTCCAAGCCAAGAAGACAACTATTAACAGAAGAGAAACAAAGGTTATGGATGAGGCTGGCTATTTATATGGCTTGACAAGAAGAAGATTAAGTTACAATTGCTATGTTGACTTGAGACTGCAGAAGCGGGATGGAGGAAAGCAAGCAGCTGGAATAAATAACCTACAGGGAAGGCAGAGCTGAAGCTTGGTTCTGCTACATGTATGAGGAATTGAGCACCAAATAATTCAGAAGTTTATGCATGATAGAGGCAAGAGGAGATAGATAGACCTTGAGTTATACGCAAACTTTAGTGTATAAAAGGGATGACTACATTGCACATATTGTCATAGATGCAAAAGGAGATGGATAAAACTTGAAATATACACTAGCTTTTACGTCATAATAGGACTATAGGAATAATCACATTGTACATTATATTCCTATTCCAGTTAAGATATCATCTACAACCAAATTCCAATCCACCAGCTAATTTCAGTAATTGTAATGACAAGCAGAATTTTAACCATCCTGTGTAAAAAGATGGAAGCACCACAAAAAATCTGCAAGAGTTTTACACGTTTACCTGGAAAGTATGACTACTGGATGCTTGTCACCTTCTACACTATCCAAAAAGTGTGTTTGTATGGCCTCTGGAACCTAATCACAACAAAGATTATGTGAAACAAATACAGAAAAATAGACAACATACGCTAATAACTATGAAGGAATAGCTTTTAGCACTGTCATTTTACTCAAAATTACTTCTGTATTTTTTTGATGCATTTATGAAACAAAGTACAACATATAACTCAGATTAAACGCTCCCCTCTCATTTTCATTCAGATCTTGGGAAGGGCAGGTGGCCACTCTGATTCAGTGGAACAATCCAATATGGTATATGATGATAATTACAAGCAACCATTTCAGCTATTGAAAAAATAACTATAGGCTCAAATATAACAATCCAATGCTTAAGAACTGCCTCTCTTTTTCATCAAAATTTTGGAAAGGGGAGGTGGCCACTGAGTTCAGCGGAACAATCCAATATGGTAACTAAAAGCAACCATTTCAGCCCTTTGAAAATACAACTATAGGCTGAAATACAACAATCCAATGCTTACTGTAAAAAAAAAAAAAATTAACTCTTCTGCCCTTGGGTTCTTTCTCTTGAGCTCTTATGACTAATAATTTGTTTAGGATGAGCTGTTGAGCCGTGTTGAACACCATCCATATGGCAACCGTCTATTAAATATTTTCAAGAAATGTTGTTCAAAATTTCAAATTGGCTTGATTAACATGATTAACCTCTCCTTCCTCTCTCATTGACCAGCCACAAAATATTATTAGGCAGCAGAAGATCAATAATAAAAAGATAAAGGCAACTTTTCAACTGCTGGAACATAAAAAAAAGCTATTAGCTACTTTATATACCCTTATGGTTGTCATTGACTAAAGGCACTGGATAAGTAAAACTGACAAATATAAGCCAATTTTTAGCAAAACGTGAACGGAAGGTCACCATGTAAATTGACATACAAATAGATTAAAATTGTCTACCATAAAAATGTCAAAAAACACAAGGAGCCATGTAGAATTTTCCGAAAGGAAGATAAAAACAAGAGAAGAAAAACAGGAAACTACCAAAGGTAACTCTCCTTCTCCCTCGTCGGCTAGGACTTGTCCAGTTATGAGTAAAAGAGAGTAAATTTCTTCCAAGATTGCAGTTGGATCAGATCTGCCTCTGACCTGAAACAAAAAGAATAAAGTTTAAAGTAAAAGGAATGGGAAGTTCAATAAGTAAACAAACTGCAGAGCTAATTTCATAAAAGTACTTAGCTTGTTTCCAGATTAAGACAATACATGCCAAATGCATACTACATAATTGTTCGTCTGGAAGGATTTTTTTTTTTTTAAATTTAACCTGTTCTTAAAACAGAAACATAAGGATTGGGTTATACAACCATGTATTAGTTATGTTGCTTCTATAATTCTGGTTATATATTATTTAAGTCCACTAGCTACAAATATACCTTAACTCTGCTGCCCTACTACTACAACAACAACAAAGCCTTAGTCCCAATATGATTTGGGGTCGGCTAACATGAATCGTCATACAGAATCGTACGATAAAAAGAAAAGGACATAACAAAATAATCAAAAAGTTACATCAAAATAATCAGACTCTATTGCCCTACTATTGTAGATAAATCATAAATGTTACATCAAAAACCAGACAAAGTCCATTAAAATAGGAAAAAGGGGGATTGGTAGGGTACATAATTGCAACATTGCAACAAACCACCAAGATGGCTGAGAAGTATATAAAAAGAAAAATTCCCACAAAAACTTTCACAGTGATTTAAGGCAGGAAAAAACAAATAAAATAACAATAAAATAAAATAAAAAAGAAGAGTTGTGTAAGCTGTTCAAAGGTAATAATGGAATAAGATGATTCAACACTGACCAACAATACAAATTGCAATACAAGCCACGCAACTATTATAAATCCAGGGTATAATAAAATAAGAACATATAATTCAATGATTAAGAACGTACCTTATAGAAGTATAAGAAAATAAACATAGAAAAAATATAAAGAACACACAGGGGTAATTAAAATCATATGCATGGCATTAAAATAACAAAAAAAAAACAAAAGGATATATGCTTTAAAGGATATGAGCATACATTATAAAGGTATGGTAAATGAATGTGGAAAACTTGAGCAAAGAAAATGTAGGCATAATGAAACGAATATGCAATGGACCAGAAGCGTCCAGAACGCAGATCACCCCCCAGGTCCATAAAACCAAGTAAGTCAACTACCTGCTGAAGTTGAGCGAGGCGTTCCAAAAAGACTTTTGTAAGAAAAGGAACTGAATACTCAATTGATGCCCTTGCAATAAGACCATAAGAATTCAACCTTTCATCCATGCCTGTAAAAGAAGTAAATTGACAGAAACTAAGCTGGAAAAGATGAAGATGACAGCAAGACAACATCAAACACCTGAGGAAGGCAAATGTAATGTGGAGATTTAACAGCTATCATGTGTACCAAAAATTGAAGCCTGGAGATAATCATTGCTATCATCATCATTGAATGCTGTTGCAGAGGCAGCTGCATTAAATATAGAACAGATATTAAACATAAAAACATTAACAGATGTACGAGGGATACAGACCAAAACATGATATTCTAGACATCATACTAACTCTTCAGTTCAGACTCCACAATCAATGCAAACAGAGAGGCAGCCGCACTAATTCCTTCTAATGGGATCGATGGAGCCCCATCACTACTGCCAGAAGGCTGCAAAGGAAACACAAAAACAATAAACAAAGTAACAAAATGCATAACAACAGTGAAAGTAGTGGTCACCAAGAAAAAAGAAAAACGCAATGAAATCATACATACGCAATCTTCGAAATCGAAAAGTGCAGCAGAAATGCTGAAGTTACACACAAACACACAGCAGTATAAACAAACTGAACTTTGAAAGGTCTAAAATCTAAATACAATGATGGGCGATTCGTTTGAATTTGCAATCAATATTTTCAGGCAAAGCAAAACAGTACAAGCCAAAAGCCTTAAACCAATGGTATAAATTTGATTCTGATGGAAAAAACCCTAACCTTATGGAAAGACATCAGAACTGCAAGAGCCCCTAGGACGCTAGGAGTGAAAATTCCAGTCATAAATTGAGATAATCAATGTGGTATATGTGTTTTACAGAACAAAAGAACCTCTGGATGATAAAGAACTTGATTGTAAGGTGCTTATCTTATTTGTTTAAGAAATTATTTAACCTTGCATTAGAGAGGCAAGTTAAGTCTCTAACTTTATAGCTAAAATTGAGCTTGACAAAAGCATTAACACATAACCCCAACTATAATATCAACACAACTCCTAGAAATTTCTCGAACATCAAGTAGGAAAAAAGAAACAGGGGGCGCTTGGTTCACATAGTAATATGGAGTTAAAATCATAAATGAAACTATGATGCATGGGTTTGGAACTTGATTCTTGATACCATGTGTTTGGTTGCTTTGATTCATTTCTAGAATGACTTTTTTTTTTTTTTTTTCATCTTTTATCTGATTCTTAATACCATGTGTTTTGGTTCATTAAAGGACTTTATTTTCATTTATAATACCTAAAGTATTGGTATGAGCCATACCCACCTCCCTCCAAGGTTCCTAAATTCCATACGTTGGGGATTTGAGGTATAGGTTTAAAACTTTTAAATCATCAACCAAACACATGGTATGTGTTTAGACCATTCTAAACCCATAACTCGTACCTAGGTTTCATAAACTAAACACCCCTAAGAGAGTTATTGGATAAGCTATCAGGTACCCAAAAATTCTAAAATGATAACTATACCGTACCCGACAGCTTAATTTTCGGATTGGGTACTGATGATATTTATAATGGTTTGAGTACCTTATTTTTTATTGAATAACAGATCAATTGGAATTTCTGATACTCTTGCGCGAGCCAGAATTTATCCCCATTTATAGGTTTGATTTGACAGCATTATTGCTAGCCTTTCTACTCTTATTATAATAGCAGATCAACCTAATCGAGAGGGGAGGAACCACATTACAAAGAAAGATACAGATTCATACCGTAAGAATTGCAGTCCAAGTATCTAACAAGATATCACGTGCTACCCAACCCCATGTTTCCTCATCAGTGCCAGTCGACATAAGTACTTTAACAACTTCACTCATCAAGCCAGATAACAGATTTATTGTTCCAAAAGGGCTGCAAAAAAAAAGCGAAAATATTATGAATAAAATAATAACTGTAAAGATAACCCTTTCCTAGAAAAGTAAACAAAACACAGTCAAGATCAGGAACTAACCATATGGATTTCAAGAGTTGGTCATACATAAATGGGGATGTTACAGTTGCTACAGCCAATAATGCTCGGCATCCATCAAGAAACTCACTAAACAAGCAACACAATAAGAAAATTTTATCTGAGATTTACATGTATCATATGATTACCTACGACCAAATTTCAAAGACAACAACAGTACAAAAAACAATTGTTACAGGTCAACAAATACTAGGACAAAAAGAACCAAGGGAGGGGTTTAAAAAGCATGTCCTTTAGACCTTTCACTTTTCCCAGATTCAATTGCCCTTGATATAACATCTGGGGGATGAATCCATTGTATGATTCCAGATAGCAATTGTACTAGGTGGTGTTCTCGCATTTGAACATTATCTGCATAGCATAAAATGTAGACGAAAAGAACAAGTCAGCAAGCCATGAAGATGCTTGTGAAACAAATATTAGATTCCGTACAATATGTAATTCCCTACCAATTTATTAAAAATGGGCCAAAAATTGCCACATTTTGCAGTATAATTTGCTCTTGTCAATATACAGTATGCGGGGAGTATAGAGTATTATTAGCCCTTTATAACTAAACAAAACCATAATGGTAAGTAAGAGCGAACAACAGTGGTTGCTTATGCCAAATTGCCATATCATGACCAGCAGACTGGCATGCTTTTAGTAATTCTGCTCTTTATTAATTCTTAGAGGTTTCCTTGTCCTCTAGTGGTAATCATACTTCTAAGTATATTGGTTACTATCTAACAAAATAACCTTTCTTTGGGGAGGTACAGTGAACTGAATTATCTATCTTAATAATACATTTTTTCATTCGTGGTGCATTTGCCACTAAAGAAAACGCATAGGTTAATTATAGGTAAAAGGTAATCCCTAAAAATATCATCAGGACAGCAAGAAAGATTTTCCCATATGATCACAGAATAAAATAGAATATAAACAGAATATAGAGACAGGTACCGACCATATATAATAAGGGCTAGGAGAAAAAACATTCCCACCATCAGATTAAAAAAAAACAACAAAATACCAACACCCACCAATCAAAGAAAATGACAAGTACTCACACAATAAATCACATTGCACCAAAATAGCCTCTAGGAAGGGTATATACTTTGTATATCCCTATTATTACCACATTGTGCCTTCTAAATAAATATGGGAAGCCCAAGAAATAGGCAGTTTTAGGCACTTTTTTATAGAGAAGTAGGTAATGCAATTGAAATTGCAAATGATGCAAAAATAATATGAAGCATACGAAAGGATTGACAGAATAGCAGTAGAAAGCAATATCATAAACAATAACAGTAGTAGTAAAACTGGTATTTGTAGTTGAAATAATGATAGTAGTACTAGTAGAAGTAATAGTATTAGTGACAAAAGTATGACACAGGAAGGGTAGAATTCATAGTAGAAGCTTGGCTGTGAAAGTTAATTTTCATATTTATGATGGAGATTTTATCCTTCCGGTCAGCAATTTTTTAAGAGCTTCAAGACCATAGTTTATAAAGTGCCCCTGAGATAGGCACCTAAGCAAGAGGCAAAGCTCACAAACCTTTTGGCAACATGGGCTACGGGTGAAGTTAAATAGGCACGGAAAAGTGCACCCTTCCAGCCACCTTCAACCAGGTGCAGCACCTTGGGCCCTATTTGTCTGGTGAAACATGTGCGCATGAGAGAGGAAGAGTGAGCTAGCAAAAGCTCTGGGTTAATTGTGAAGATTTTGCTTCAATTTGAACCCAATATCAAAAGCACTGATCACTGAAAACTCTTCTTTGTGAGTTAACTAGAAAGAATAAATATTGGCTGACAGCAGAGCTCTTTGATTTTATCTGTCTTTAATATTCTCCGTTACTCTCCCTAAACTCTTTCAATCTGTTTCTTCTGTGTCAATCATCGTTTTCATTCTTCCCTTTTTGTCCTTTCTCATCCTCTTTGATCTGCTATTAGCTCAAAAGCCCCCTGCTTGTGATGTGAAAATGCCAGGCAACAATTTTAATATTTTGTTCTTACTTTTTCCTCCCTTTTTCTTTTATTGTGTGCTAGGTAGGTAAGATCCCCAGTTCCCCACCCTCCTTGTCATTGAAACAATCACAAAACCCCTTTCTCTTTTTTTAAATTTACCAAATAGCAATTTATCATGGTTATACGTTTGTATTTGGGTGGCTCTTCTTCAGAGATTTAATGCCATAATAGCCAGAAATATTAAGGTGCACCCCCATGCAAGAGGTGCTTGCCTTTTTCCTTGCACCTATGCTCCAGGGACCCTTTGCACCTCATACAGTCATACAATTAAATTCTAATTTCGGACATGCCATAGTTCAAAATACACAATTTTTGTCACAATTGCGGGAACGGCATGCTGTCACGGTAACGAATTTTATATGTTAATCACACATCATGTCATGGTTGCCGCGATGCGAATTTGAATTCAAAGTCTTTTAGGTTTTATGATAGATGTAATTTGGGGAGAGATGAGGAATCTTTCACTGTATCTCCAAATAGCAAGTAACTTTTTGGTGAAACAAGGGATATCATGTTCAATGCAGCCAATGCAGGGTGATTTGGGGAATTGGGGTTGGAACATCTGATACAGACAAGATCTTGGGTTTTAGAAAAACACCGTGATTGATTTCGGTTTGGTTAATTGAAAATCCTTTACAATACGGCCCAGCCGAAACAATGTGGCCGTATTTTTGCATCATGAGACAAACACAACTTCAATCTGGCCATCCATATTAAAAGTGGTAAAACTGGTAAATTCAGGCTCTCCATTCTTATGATGATCAAATTTTTATGGCAGGTGTACAAAAATAAGTTCCAGTTCATACACCATAGCAGAAAATTACTCCTTCAAACTTTAACCACAATCCTCAAATCAACAAGATAGATAATATATTTCCAGTTAAAGAGCAAAGTTGCACAATAAAAAATGTGCTCCGTTAGCTGCCTATAAAAAATTACAACCTCAAAGCTACAAAACATACCTGATGGAAATATATTTCCAGTTAAAGAGCAAAGTTGCACAATAAGCTTCCGAGCAGAAACTGCAATTGGACAGTCAAGCCAGTAGCCTTTGAGTGAGAACTTATGCCTCAAAGCTCCGTAGAGATTCAAAACCCAGCTAACATGCCCACTTGAAAGCAAGATCTGCTGCCATGAAGGACCAGGCTACAGGAAGAATAAATGTAAACAATATGAGACAAGAGCCACGCCATGGTTATGAGCTTATTGGATTCTGATTTAATACCAATTCATAATCTAGTCAGCAGCATACACAACCCTGTTTAAGATCTTACTATGATAAAATTGATGAGAAAGTAGTATCCATAAAGGCAATGAAACAGATAAGCATACTACAATACAAGAGCCGGCAACAGATATCAGCAGAGTTATCGTTTTATGCAAAACAAACAAGGGACATAACCTCGATACCGACATACACAACCCTAGTTAACATGATCTTAGACTACATATGGGTTCCTTTTTTAATATGCTGTTCGGAATATGCTGTGCTAACAAGAAACAAAATGCATAGAAGTTCACAAAATCAAGTTCCTTTATAATAGTGCTGAAATAAAGTATGTCAAGAGATGCTTCAGTTATGATTATGAGAAAGAAATACCGCATAAAAAACAAGTGACAAATGAACTCCGTCAAATAAAAATAAAATTTATGAGGACAAACAGCATTACCTGTACTATAACACATTCAGACCGCCAAGAAAAGACCGCATCATTTCTAGCTTTCACAGAAAAGACATCTACATTCGTTTTAGCACTGTCATCGGAGCTGTAACGGAAGTCCCAATTCAAAATTTGAAGCATTAGACGCATGGAAGCTGTGCAAACTTTAACTTCAGGGACCTCGGAATCAGATTCCACTATTCTGTTTGTAACACTTGCAGCAGCTTCCTGTGCCCAACTATAGAAAATCTAAGTAAAAATAAATAAAAATAAAAAAGGTTAGAATAAAAGATCAGAAGAGAATATTAATGTGCAAATTTGGACATACACACATATGGGATCAAATTAGATGTAGCGTTAAATGTGAAGACTGCAACGGATTTCAAACCATGATTAATTACATCTATGGCTAAACCACTGAAGAGAAGCATGTGTGAGAAAGAAAACATATACTATACGTAAATAATAAGTTATTAAGTGTTTTTTGTTTATATGTACAATATGTTGCTTAGGCTTGGCTGGTAATGTTAGATATATGTATCAAGCCATATGAGTTAATTGATTCTTTATATAATGCATATTCTTGGTCCAAGATGAAAGAGTCCACAAACATGTTGGTATACTGAAAATCAGACTCTGGGAGTTGAAAGGAAATGTAGAATCTATGTAATATTACAGCAAGTATGAATGTATGTATAGGTGACCCAACATGCGTGAAGGGTTTAAGTTGATAAGGACCTCAAGCCATCAGATCTGAAATATTCAGTAGCTTGGATTATACGAAGTATTTGTGCAGTCCTTGGCATTTCCACTCAAATAATTTAAATGCACATATTTTCTTCAATTTAAGTCTACAATACATTCAGACTTCTTCTTCCTCCTATCAAATAAAATTCAAACCATCAACACACTTCTTCCTCCTACAATGACATACTCCCTCCATTTCACAATAACTGATAATAGTTTCAAATAAATAATTGCACTTTACTTTTTGTTTCTAACTTTATCCCACTTCCCTACCACTCAACATTTTCATTGTACTTTTCCCACTTCTCTCTCACTTAGCAATCTTTTTCTTGGTTCTTGTGGAAAGTGAAATACAAATATATAATTGAAAAGGAGGGAGTAAATGATTTCTAATTTTCTAGTGATTACTTGTCAAATTTCCTGCAAAATAAGTTGCTTCACATTTGCACATCTTGATGTCCTTTGCAACTCAAACCCCTAAAAGCTCCATTTCCTCTTTTTATTATATCTCTCCTCTCCTTCCTCTCCATTATCTTAGTTGGCAAGCAATCCATCAATCTACAGTTAAGCTAGATAATCCATAGCGCCTGTCCAGCCATACCCTCCATTAACAACGGTGACTCTACCAAACGACAGAGGCAAGCATAGGGCCATGCTGAGCAATTACTATTATAATATTCTATTGGTGTCTTATCTTCATAAAACTCCTAATTTTTTATATAATTTTGTTTATTGAAATTCCTGTAATTAACTCTGCAATTATGATGTAGGTTTCATGCTTGATCAGAGTTTGTAAGATATTGCCAAGTTTAATGTTATTAAGGATATGCTATATTGAATTATGGGCTTCTCCTATGCCTGCTTCTCTATTTTTTTGAAATGCTCCCCAATTGGACCAGAACTTAGGCTCTCTGCTCTTCATCTTTGTAAATGTAGACTAAATCCTTTTCATGAAAACTTTCCAATAACTTAGCCACCAGAATTAAGTCAATTTACAGAAGACCATAGCTAGACTTTAAAATAAGAGGAGATTTGGTGGGTTATAAACTCCGATGAAAAAAGAGAAAATTGATGCAGAAAAATGTTGAAAATTCTGAAAATATAGAAGAATTATGGAAAAACTAACACCGGACAAGTGGTTAAAAATTTGCTCAACTCCCAAGGCTCGGCAACCTCCAAGGCTCAAGTCTGGTCATGATGACTTAATAGCTTTAGGGTAACTTCCCATAGGAAGAAGTGAAAGGTGGGAGAGAGGGTTTTGCATACTTTTACCATCCCCAAATGAGGGAAAACAAGCACTCATACCTCTTATAAAACAAATAGTGCTGTTTACAAAATATTCCACTAGTGAGACTCTTATATCAGCCATCAGATTAACATATTGGCTCTTTTCAGTTTATCTTACATGCATATATTAGAGTGCATATGTTTGTATACTCATGCGCACATGTTTTTAGAGTGTGCACATATGTGTGTAATCACTACAATGTAAGGAAAGACAAGAATATTTCAAATAATAAAATGATAACCTTCAGGTAGTCCAGCTCCAGTGACATCCTGCACTGCTCATGGAACTCTCTAGGAAGGCCCATGGCAGTTGAAGTGGAAGGAGAAAATTCAGATACCTGAAAAGAAAATGTAAGTTCATATTATATGCTCATAATAGTTCCTTTCTTCAGAAGAAGGCCAAGGGGAAATTAAGAAAAGTGTCAGAATATAATAGATAGAATAGCAAGAATTACCAGAGATTCAAGGAAATTTATACCAGTGAATTGAACATCCACACCATGACAGCCAGTAATTGCCTGCTTTATCTGCAAAATCAACGTAAAACATGACATGAGTTTGTTTATGACCATCGACTAGGGCATAAAACTGAATATAAAGGGTGGGAATTGGGGATAGGATAGAGAACAATGGAAGGGGGGATGGACCCTGGTGGTAGCAAGGGAGGGTGATCACTAACCCCAAAAAAAAACATTGCCCGTATATCAAGTCAAAGGTCATAAGGACAAATATGAGAAGACACTCCCCATTGTTGGGCTTTATCCTAGCTAAAAAAAACATGGACAATTCAAAGAAGGGGCTAAAAAATCAATATTGGACTCCTCTGCAAAATTGCAAGTGCTAGCCAAACGCTTTACACAGATATATTAGACTACATCTGTTTCATAATATTCTAAATACATTCCTTATAGTCCATTTCAAATAGTTCTTAACACTTAACTTTTATTCCATTTTTGGCAAACTCCTTTTACTACCTTCCCCCTTTTACCTCACATTATTTACACCCTTGCACTCACCTTCTCTTATTTTATTTTATTTTATCTTACACCCACCATCATTTTTACACTTCCTCTCTTACTTTATACACCTTTTTCTAACACCACCCACATTTTTACCGACTCTTTCTTTTATTTTTTAATTTTTTTAATATATGTACAAATAGGAAATGTTAAGAACATTATAAAACAGAGTTAGTAGAACTTAAGCAGATTCATAACACGAAAATTATAAGAAAATAAAAAGGGGCAAAAAATGAGTACGAAAATCAAAACAAACTTAATAAAGCTAGCATATGTTACCATCAGTTGCCATCTCAGAGTCAATGAAATCAGTAGGATATGAGAAAAGGAGTTTGTATCAATGTTTTTTTTTTTTATTAAATTACATGGTACTAAAAAAGCAGGAGGACATATGAGCCATGTGCATTGTGCTTCCAGGAGCATAATATTATTCGCTAATAAAAACCTTCCAACATCTCAAAAGAGCTCAATGAGGGCAAATAAAACAAATCACTAACAAGCAAACCACTCAATGACTCCCAAACAATGAAGACAGCGTCGCCATAGTTCTTCAAGAAGCAACATGTCAATCTAAGAGTTATCATATGTTTCTATGTTTCCAAGAGACAGAGAGACTTCATAGAGAGCAGTAGTTGGTCAGCAGCTCACACATGTAGTAAGGGATCTAAGTCATCTAACAACTAACAAAGAAATTTTAAGTAAATCCCAACTAACTTCTAGCTAAGTGGAAAAAACTTAACTGAACACCAAACAATAATGGTATACAAGATATGTTTGAACCCCCTCTTTCCCTCTCACTCCGATGATAGGCATACCTTTTATCATACTAAGTTTAACGCAAGGAAAACAAGTTTAGAATAATACAAGTCTTAAGTAAAACCATTAATCATGTAACCCAAATAAAAATGCATTACAGTGATCAAACTAATCGGCATCGTATATCTCCTGCATATACAAAGTAAATGAGAATGACAAACAAAGAGAAAGGTAAAACATGTGTACTGATCACAGGGCTAAAACAGATAAAAGCTTGGAAATGAAAAATACAGAATATTTTGGTTCTTTCATAAAGTAAACATTCATAACAAATGCTAATATTGAGGAGTCGTCTATGCAGAAAAGAAAAGGAAGAAGAAATCCAGATCCATTTTAGATATAAAAAAGCTTTTAGCTGTACAAAAAAAAAAAGTGTTAGTTCAGTGGAAACAATCTTTTGTACCTGAAATAGAAATGCCTCCTTCTCAGAAGCCACAAACTCTAACCTGCACACAGAGCATTTTTCTTTAAGTTTAATCTAAATAGATAATGATTCAACTTAGCAAACTCACAAAATCAATTCAGTTAAGCAATTTGGTCCCTTAGAAAAAGTTCATATCTCACTTATGGCCAAAAAAAAAAAATGAAGCATAAGCTTCTGCAAAAGTATTGTTTAACTTAGTAGCATGCCTCTGCTCTCTCTATCTCTCACAAGGTTTCTTAAACTAAACAATCTACATCCCCAATTTATGCCGCCAGAGGCCAGATTCCTTTTGCACAACCTGCATTTTTCCTCAGGCTTGAATGTTTTGAAGGTCCAGTTTATCTTCTTATGCTGGCAAAATCATCTTCATGGTATTTTCATTTCTGACCCTTTTTCGCCAATTTCTGCTGTACAAAATTCTAACGTCAGGAAACTTGAGATTTCCTTTCTGTTGCTTAATGCATAAAGGGCCAAAGGGGCCATATGTCCCATTGTGATAATAGAACTATATTTTCCATCAAATGCTCTGCTTCCATTTCAATATTCTGAGCTCTCCCCTGTTTCCTCTATATGTCCCTTGCCTAGTGGCACTAAACTAAGTGCATTCTTGCGGCCAGTATCCCCGGTAACCCCTGCTAGTTTGTTGGTAAGAGGAAGAGCAACATACTTTTCAAGGTTAATGTAGCATTCTCAATGGAATAGGAACAAGAGTCGAGAACATCTAGCTTGATAGCAGGAATGATTCTCTAAATAAATTTTTTTAAAATAGAATTGAGAGTATCTACAAATATAAGTATATAAGCAAGTGTAAAAGCCTAAGTAAGCTTGGAATAGTATTAAAATAAGATTAAAGACAAAAAGGTAGTAGAATAATTGCTATCTGGTGATGTGACAAGAGTCACAAGACCCACACTGAGGATTGAAGACAAGTACACTCCCCATGGTCTGTACTCAAATAAGGTTAGTTTAGACTTAAAAGGTCAAGGTTATGTAGATGACATCAATAGTGGCAAAAATGACCTAAAAGACCATAAGAAAAAAAAAATCTTAGACCAATATTATGTCATAAGATTTTTTTAAAAAAAATATCTATGTTTTGTATATGGCACCTGTAATGATTTATCCGGCCTAAAAAACCATACAAAAATTAATAAAAAAGAAAAATAAAAATCAAGGTTCCAACCGCAACTGTAGCAATGTAGGGCCTGTTCTGTTCACCTTATTTTTACTTACCTCAAGAAAAGTAAGTTCAGATAAGATAAGTTCAAGAAAAATAAGTTCTAGTTAGGGTTGACAAGAGTTACCCAAGTTCAAATTACAACTAATAAGGTCTAATAAGGATAATAAGTGAAAATAAGCGAAAATTAGGTAAATAGAGCATGCCCATCCAATCATACATTGTGTTGTGTTACATTGCACAGTTAGCATGTTTCAGCCACTGCAGTGTGAATTAACAGGTTATAAAACTGCAGTTGTAATTTATTACTATCCTCCTCGAAATTCAATGTCAGTCATAGGTTTTTTAAGTATAAGCCGCAGATATCCTTGACCACGATATCCACCTTCTTGCAATGGCATATTTTCCTGTCACATCACCAGTCTTAAAAAAATTGAAAAAAAAAAAAAAAAAACAATGACCTACCTATTACAGTCAATCTCTAGGTAGAAATTAATGAATTCACACTGAGGCATTTCTTTCTTTCTTTCTTCTTTTTACTTTGGGCATGTTTGGACAGCTCAAAAGTGAAATACGCCAAAAACGAATAACTATAAAGAAGAAACTTCTGACTTAGCAGGTTATTAGTCTTCTTTAATCCACCTACAAAATGGTTTATATACCTTAGCCAAAATGCAGTCCCTCAATCAGTGAGTTTCTCTTTGTCTATGTGTTTAAGTGCCACAAAAAGTATATAAATTAATAAAAATAAAATAATCCTTGAAAATATGGAGACAAAAAGAGGGGAGGAGTTCGAATGTAAATTATCTAGTTATTCTACATTTAAATAACTACCCAGAGTAATTTACTGGACACATTTAAACCCTTGAGATTTAATTCACATCGCTTCTCCTAAAGGAAATTTAGCGTCTCATTTCACAATGCAAATACCCAAATACACCCTTATTAATAATTGACATGCCTTTTGTGGTCCCTATCACCTTTTACCCACTTTCTTAATTTCAGTGCCCACCCCACCCCCCAAATATAACAATTTATCTAGAACGGAAGAAGTATAAATTTCACAACAACAAAAAAATATTAATAATTTCAGTGGAGAAAAATAAAAGACCAAACTCAATACTCTTCAACTACTTTATACAATTTCCAATTTAAAAGATTTTTATAGCCTAAACAACCTTTTTTATTTTTGAGGTGATAAGGTTAAAAATGGAAAAACTACCAAATGCATAGGAAAGGTCAAAGGACAATATCTTGAAAATGGACAATATGAAAAACTGCCTTTCCACACAAAAACACATGCAAATTTCAAAGAAAAGGAAACAGTAAAGAGTTCACTCTTAGTCAATGTGGGTGCTCTCTCTTGTCCACGTAAGTTTCCATGTTTGTGCTCACTCTTAGTCCATGTGAGTTTGCACTTTCCACATCCAATCCCTCTTTTTACAACCAACAAACGAGAGAGAGAGAGAGAGAGAGAGAGAACTGGACAAAAGTCAGACAACCATAGAAACAAGTCGCCAACAAAATTCACATCACTGGCTCAAATTAACCTCCCAATAAAAAGCACAGCCACTAAACAAAACATTTGCCTCATTACAGGTTTTGCTACTCAAATCTAGATCTAGTAGCTATTGAATTGTTGTTCCCAACCTTACAATTAACCTATCAAATAAAGACAGAAAGTGACTAGTGTAATTTTGGTGTGACAAATTGGACGATCCAGCTCGCACACCATGAAAATTCATAGACCTTAAAACTCACCAGCCTCTTTTTAATAACTGAGCAGCCACAGAAGAAACCTTTGTTTGAACATAACCTTCAGACGAACTTGCATGCTGCATGACAAAGCACAAACAGAAACTGGAAGAAGGAAGAGAAAAGTAAGTAAAACAAAGGCCAAATTGTTCATCTGAACAAGATACATCAAGGTTAAGCAAAATTTTGCTATTTCAAGGAGGAAATACAATCAACAGTTTTATGACCAACAAGGTCTATTCAAGATGTTTCCTCATAATAAAGCTGTTTGATGATTAAAATAATTAATTATAAAAATTAAATAAACTAAATTAAATTCAAAGCAATGCCATATTCTTTACATAATCAACAAATTTGATAGAATGTTCAGACTTGGTAGTAACATGTCAATGTGTACAAGAAATGAAGTAAGTTAGCTTCAACCCATAAATTCAGACAACTGAACCTGATGCTGTTTATGTTCTGTAAGTCTCATGCTTATGGATTTATGGCAAAAGTTGATTGTCATGGGCCCATCCTAACTGAAAGTAGCATAGTCCAAATTTTAGAGATTTAAAACATATAAAAACCATCCTTGGTCAGAGAAAATTGTGAATGAAAGATTATACTGTAGCATATTGTCTCACTTTGCTGGTGTCTACTATAGCATATTGTAGCATAAAATATTAAAAATGATTTTTCACCATATACCCCTGAGTTTTTTGTTTATTCACCAAATAGCCCTGAGTTGTTACAAATATTCACCATATACCCCTAAACAAGATGAGTGGAATTTTGTTAATTATGCATTGAAACCACCTTAGATCTCTACCCCATCCCTGAAACCACTCCTCTTCTTTCTCCAACCCCCGAAACCACTCCAAATCTCCATAACCATATCCATATGATTGATTTTGAGGATGAGAAAAGGAAATTTGGGGTGGTTTTAGGGGTGGGAAAAAGGAATGTGGGTGGTTTCAGGGGTAGGGGAATATATTTAAGGTGGTTTCGGGTCATAATTAACCCTAATGACTGACGAAGTTAACAAATCATTAGACATCAAGGGTATATGGTGTATTTTTGTAAAAACTTGGGGGTATATGATGAATTTAAAAAAGTTCAGGGTTATATGGTGAATAAACAAAAAACTCAGGGGTATATGGTGAAAAAACCGTTTTAAAAAATTTGCATAATGTACTGTAGCATAAATTATAAAAAATTTGCATGTTCCAGACTTCCAGGTCCAAACTGAAGTGTCAAGTAACCATGGGAGTCACTGAGTCACAATACAAGTACTTTAGAAAAAATTCAAAGTTTCTAGCATACATCAAAATGTTTACAAAAAGCACAAAAACACGACTGGAAAAATGTTTTCGAACTCTAGCACAATCAAAAGTAGTCAAATTGCTAATTCAACAAATAAACTCACTTAATCAAGCTTCCTTTATCCACAGATGTGAGAATCCCCCATTCCCTAAGAGCTGCATCTCGAATTGCAGCAGCAGCCTGAAACCTTGCATTTGCCACTTGAGAATTCTCTGGTGTGAAGGGAAAAAAAGGGAAGTTTAGTATTAGACAAAAAATAAAAAGATAAACTGACAAAAACTTTGGCAAAAACACAGCCATTGCCAAAGCCCAGCCAAGGCTATAGATTATACTTAGTTTTTGGTTTCATTATAGGTGTATCCAGCTTAACAAAAAGGGTGAAAACGTTTGATTAATTATACTAGGTGCATGTAATCCAACTGCCCAATCAACCTTCTTCCATCCATACAATATCCTACAAGACTTTCACAATCACAAGTTCCCAAAAATTCTCCCAGTTTATATTTCCTCTATAGGGTACACCCAAGTAATCGGAAGGGTATTCAAATACCAATTAAACAGCAAGCTCTCCAACAAGTTGAAGACTTAAAATAAGAGATCAATGTTTGATCTTTTGATCTTGAAATCGACTCAATTCCGCAAATTCATGAACACCTTCTAATCCTAAAATAAATAGTATATCATACACATTCATCTGAAAGACAATTACGTTTCCTCTTACTCCCTAAAGTTTTAAATCCCTCCGTAGTACCCTCTAGTCACTCTGTTGCATCCTCTCAAGCAGGCATACTAACCACAATGGTAATAAAATATCACCCTCTTCAAAAGCACATTGGCATTGCAAAATGGTGTTAAATCTGAAAAGAACATCTCCTAACGGGTTATTTAGCACTTTGAAACCTTCATGTGGATCTTATAAACAGTGGTGAGCAAAATGACCTAAACTTACTTAGCCAATCCTTTTCAAGAAAAGAGTGATAAAATTGTAGTTATGATTTTCCCAATAGCAATAACCTAAGGTAACTCAACTAAAATGGCCATTAAAGCATCACATCCCAACCATCCTAGGCCAAGACATCCCAACTATTTCTCCGACCATCCTCCCACTAAATCTTCCTATCTAGGCCAATATCAAAATCTTGTACAATGACAAGATTTCTCTATTAACGGCATCATTATTTTATAATAGGTGAGTCAGTGACAACCTCCCCAAAAAAAAACTCCCTAACTCCTTAAGAACTCATATAAACGGCATCATTATTTTATAATAGGTGAGTCAGTGACAATCATAGTTCTTACTTCTCCTCCCATTTACTACAAATAATGAAATAAGTATACCCCTCTCTCGCCCATTAAACATTCAACATTTCACAACTTCATCTTCAAAGCTCATACTATGTTTTTCTCTCAAAAGCACCTCTTTCACTTCATTCTTAAGATCCATGGCATTAATTCTTTCTTCCTCAAAACATTAATGATCAACCCATGCAATCTCCCTCAAAAGTTAGACCCTTCATTCCCGAGATCCCAAAAACCCTCCTTTATAAATTCATTCTCATAATCATAAATCTTACTCAACCTAGCCTCCTCCAACCATCCAAATTAGAAGCCCACATTTTGAGGAATAGCCTCTTTGATATCGTGTGAAACTATTAACTTGCCCTGTCAACAAAATGGCTGGAAAAGGTACTTCAATAAGATGCAATACAGTTGTCAAGACACTGACATTCAATTCCATCACCAACAAGCATCACAATTCACAAGCATGCTCCTCCATCAAGAAATATATATTATTTCTTTCTACCAAAGAGCTAAACTGGACGGGGGCCAAAAACCAAATATAAATAAATCAACAAAACTTATGCTCACCAAGAATAAATTTGCAAGCTTGATATGGCTGAGGAGATTGACTGAGTGACAAAATAGTAGCCTCGGCGGCAGCAGGATTTACATGCATCTGAAAGAGATGCGAGGAAAGTGGCAACTATAATCATGTTCTATAGAATGAAGCAGTGCGAGGAGATAGTAGAAACACATTTAATCATGTGAGGCATGTACATTTCAGTTCAATCAAACAGCAGTGCATTAGAGAATCAAAACAAAGAGGGGAAATGTTCAATTGAATGTACAATTCCAAATTCTAATCAAACCAAAAATGGCATGAGCTTAGGCACTCAGTGCATAGTCGGAAAAATTTAGGCGAAAACAAAATTACAAACTATACTAACAATTCATACTCCAAACAAATACACAAAAAAAATGGGGATAACAAAAATCAGGCGAAAACAATGTTACAGATCATAACACAAAAATCCAATTACAATAATGCCAATAACAATTAGTACTCTACAAACAAAATGGGGGTGACAAAATTCAGTCGAAAACCGATATTACATATTAAACAGAGCTCCAAATTTCAAACTAAACTAAATTCACAAAAATAGCAGTAAAAGAAAAACCTGAATTGAACTGCAAGCAAGTTCAATAGTACGCATGATAGATTGAAGGCGACCCAAATCATTGCCATTATCTCCTTGCATACTTCAAAATTTGAATACCTTAACAAAAAAAAAAATTATTGAAGATTCAAATTCGATAAATTGTACGATGTAGGAATAAAATAAAAATGGTAGATGAACTAACCAATGATTGCAAAGAAATTGAAGAAATTAAAGAAGAAGAGTGAGCCGCTTCTAACGGCCGTGCGGTGGTACTATAATTGAAACAGTAGGCCGTGTTTGAAGCTCGAAGTGTTAAGACGACGATTTCCGGCGAGTGTTGGTTGCGTCTTCGACGGATGGCTTTTTCAGTGTTTTGGGGTTTGTGGTGGTGGTCGTATTTAGAAAGTGATTTAAAATTGGAAATTTTGTTAATTAATACTTCAACAACAGGCTTTGTGAATTATTACCCCTAAAACAAAAAAAATTTAATTAGTACCCCTAATTCACCTAAATAGGACCGATTATTACCCAATTGCACTTTTCGGTGATTTAACTCACCTTATGACGTCATTACTCCGATTAAACCACAGTTCACCCTTTCTGCGCCCGTGGCCTGGACACCCGCGCCCGCGGCTACCTGCAAACAAAGCCACGAAAACCCGCGCCCGCGGCCTTGTGTGCCGCGCCCGGATGACTTGGGAGAGCCCTCTCCAAGGGCGCGACCAGCCTTCTACAAGTTCAAAAGATGAGCTCCAATTCACTCTGTCCGCGCCTGCGGCCTGAACACCCGCGCACGCGGATGACTGGGAAGAGCCCTCCAAGGGCGCGACCAGCCTTCTACAGGTTCAAAAGATAAGCTCCAATTCACCATGTCCGCGCCCGCGGCCTGGACACCCACGCTCGCAGCTCCCTGCAAACAAAGCCACGAATAACTCTAATATAATTAAACTAACTAACCCAAAAAAATAATTAAAAAAAAAAAAAGAAGAAAGAAAAGGTAAATTCCCTCATCTCTCTCTCTCCTGTACTCTTCTTCTTCTGTTCTTCCCTAACAAAACCCATCTAAAACCCAGAATTCATGTTTGTGTTCGCAGTAATGCAATTGCATGCTTAAAATTTGCCCTAATTAACAAAGTTACTTGCTTGTAAACAACATTAGTCGTGTATTGAGCCAAAAATGGGGAAGAATAAAGGAATTGTCATTGGAGGAGAAACGAGAAAGGCCCCTGTAATAGTTGGTTCCAAGTAAGTAAAGTTATTGTCTTTATGCGCTTAACACTATTCAAATCGTTTTGCATAATTGAAATAGACGAGTAATTGGAATACGTGCTTAAACCTAGGTTTGAATTGATTTTCAATTGTATAATTGAGGTAGTTGTTGTTTATGGTGGTACTGTGAAATTACTTGTTTGATGCAATAGAATAGAAAAGTTGAAATGGATTCCTTCTTGTAGCTTGTTGAATGCTTTTAAAATTGTACAGGGTTGTTCAGAAAAAAAATTCCACCCTATATTGGTATTCAAATGTTTTATGGGGGGAATTTTAAGACCAGTAGGAGTGTGGTGTTTTGGAGTGGGGGTGAAATGTTGTTAGAGGCTCAGGTGTCTACAAGGACCATGAGCATTGGGTCTTTAAATAGGCTTGTAGTAGATAGGTTCAAAGTCAAAACTAGGGAGTACAAAATTTGGTACAGAAAATTTGGCAAGAGTTTGAACACTAGGAGAAAGGTGTTGCTTGACCAGTGGGACATTGATAATTTGTTGAAAGGTGTTGGGCAATCAGATGTAATTACTTTGTATGTTGTGTTTGAGTGTGATGAATGGCAAATGTTCAATGCAGGCCATATACAAAGTAATTCAATAATGGTAGTTGGTGCACAAAAAGATGATGTTTGCATTGAAAAAACAGCTCAAAAGATACCCCCACCTCAGAAAAACCCTTCCCCAAAACACCCTCCACTACTAACAGCTAAAATAGAAAGGGGTACCACTTCTTCAAACCCTCACCCAAACCCTTGTAAAGCCTACCTCTTCTCAATCCCACCGGTTCACAAGATCTAAACTACCTGTACTGAGAGGTATCCTTGGCAGTTGACAAGGATACCATGCCACCATGCATATGCTTGTATTTTGTACATGAGAGGGGATTTAGAGGATTATGTGGATGCAACTTATTCAAGGGACAAGTACCTAGCTGCCTATTCCCCTATATTGATGCCTATGCTAGGGCCTAAGCAATGGGAAAAGACCTCTTTCCCTGAGCCCTTTCCACCCTCATTTAAGGTCATGCCACGCAGGCCATCAAAGAAGAAAAGGAAGAAGGAAGTTGGAGAGGATGCTGAGAGGGTTGCTGACCTTGCAGAGAAGGCTGCAAGAATGGGTGGGAAGCCATACAAGTGTTCTAATTGCAAGCAATATGGACATAACATCAAGAGATGAAAGAACCCAACCCTTGACACCTCATCTGAACCCAAGAATAAGGGTAGGAAACCATTCTCTGATGACCCATGGGTGGTGCATAGCAGAGCAATGAGGGCTGCAAGGAAGGGAAAGAGGTCTAAAGACAAGGTACTTGTATATCTCTTTTGGTGTTTTTGGCCCCCCTTACAAAATTTTCTTTCTTAATTTGGTGGTGGATTGTAGGGTAACAACCAGCAGGCAACACAAGCTAAGGTTGGAGAGAGCTCATCCCAAGCATCAACTGTCATAGCAGTAGGGCAGTCACAGCAGCCTAGTAGTCCAACTGATGAAATGATAGGATAGTTGTTTGTTTAGGTTCAAAGTACAACTGTTATTTAGTGTGTTTGGTGTAAGGCTTCAACATTTAGCCAATTTAAGTCCTATTTTGTAGTACAATTATGGCGTGCATGCCTATTTTGCCAAGTTATGTTATGTTTTGACTATTTATGTTGGTCTTGGCAATTATAGTCAGGCTTTTGTTATTGTGTATTTATAAGTGTCATTTATGACACATTTTAGCCCTTCTTAGTAGTGTATTGATAATTGTTATTTAGGGAGTCGCGGGCGGGGGTGTCTAGGCCGCGGGCGCGGACAGGGTGAATTGGTGCTCATCTTTTGAACCTGTTGAAGGCTGGTCGCGCCCTTGGAGAGGGCTCTCCCCAGTCATCCGCGGGCGCGGGTGTTTAGGCCGCAGGCGCGGACAGGGTGAATTGGAGCTCATCTTTTGAACTTGTAGAAGGCTGGTCGCGCCCTTGGAGAAGGCTCTCCCAAGTCATCCGCGGGCGCGGGTTTTCGTGGCTTTGTTTGCAGGTAGCTTAGCCGCGGGCGCAAGTGTCCAGGCAGCGGGCGTGGAAAGGGAGAACTAAGGTTAAATCGGGTTAATGACGTCATAAGGTGAGTTAATTCACCGAAAAGTGCAATTGGGTAGTAATCGGTCCTATTTAGGTGAATTAGGGGTAGTAATTCACAAAGTCTCTGTTTTTGAGGTAGTAATTAACAAAATTTCCCTTAAAATTTTATGGTTTTAATATGTAGTACATATACAAAGTTAAATGAAAAAAATAAATAAATAAGGGTTCGTTTGACAGTGGTTTTCTGTTTTTTGGTTTTTTGATTTTCAAAATAATATGATACATGTCATATAATGAATAAAAAAATTAGTCAAACTTATTAAAATCCTGATAAATTAGAAAACTGACAAAAAAAAGTGGAAACACCTTTTTCTTGTTTCCTGTTTTTGGTTTTATAAAAAATAGAAAACTAAAAACAAAAAACAATGCCAAACAAGCCCTAAGTTTTGTGTTTTGTATGTGGTCAGTCACATGATGCGACCACATATGTTTATAAAATTTTTTAAAAAAAAATCAAGGGAAAATACAAGTTTCTCGCATGAGTGGGACCCGATTATATTTCCTTTAGTTAATTTGTTTTTAATTAAAAGTCACGACACACATTGTTGGAGTCTTCTTGCATAGGAGAGAGAAAGACAAAAGCCATTAATGGAGGTATACCTTTTGTATGCATCGGATGTACAGTAAAACATCCAAATATTCACACGTGTCTTTTGAGCACTTGCTATCATTACTCTCCTCACTCAGTTCTCTCACTCTGTTTAACCAATTTTTTTGAAATTAACCACAAATATTGCCATTAATTCAACCTTGAATATGTCGTCATAAACCAAATATTTACAAAACCAACAAACTCTATTCAATTTATGTAATAAGAAAACCTATTCATGGGTTTTCCAAAAATTTCGATGTCATTTGCTCAAATTGCTTCATTAATGGTAAATTGATTGTAAATTTGTTATAACTAACAATAATTTATAATTCTGGAAATCTGAAGTTTTTTTCACATTGAATTTGCATTTTTGCTCCAAATTATTGGGGTATTTCGTACAAATTTGATACCAAATACAGATCATGCTTTACTTATTGCTAATTGTTCGAATCTCTGGACATACTTCAGCAGCAACAAAAAATAATAGAGCAAATAAATATGATCTTAGACCGTCTACATTTCCTGTCATTAATAAAAGGAATCACATAAGTTACCCTTTTAATCACATAAGTTACCTTTAAACTCACAAAAGTTACCCATAAAATCACATAACTTACCTTTAAACTCACAAAAGTCACCCATAAAATCACATAAGTGACCTTTTGACTCACAAAAGTTACCCATAAAATCACTTAAGTTAACTTTTTACTCCCAAAAGTTACCCATAAAATCACACAAGTTACCCAATAACTCACAAATAATACTTGTAATTTCACAAAAATTGACCTTTTAAAACACTGAAAAATCAACAAAACTAATAAAAAAATATGAACAAAAAAAATAAAAAATAAACAGATCACAAATAAATTCAGAAAATATAAGTTCAATTTCGTCGTTCGAATTAGTAGAAATTAAAAATGCAATTGTCTTCTTCTTTCAATGCTTAACTTTCACTATTTTAATCAAAACTTTTTAAAAAAACTTAAAATAGGAAATGATAATAGAAAAATACATGAACATACCTCGAAGTTGATTAAAATGAAAAGATAAAGATTAAAACAGCAAGATCAATATAAATCAATGAAGAAAAAAGAGGAAGAAGGATAATAAAGTGTGCCCTGTTTCTTGTAAAAAAAAAAAGGAAGAAGGAGAGAGAAAAAGAAGAGTAGAGGAGAGAGGAAAAGAAAAAGAAGGAGAGAGAGAAAAAATTATCCATATAATTATTATAATATTACCATGAAAGAAGAGAGAGAGAAAGGAAGGTTGTAAATTGTATGGAGTAAATAGAAACTGAAAAAAGAGTTGCTCACACGTGTAAGAGAGCCCCAGTTGCTTAAGTTGGGCTGATTTACATTAATGTTACTGTGCGTCCGATTTTTTTAAATTTTTGTGTTAATGGAGAAATTTCACACGAGCAAGTACTACGTGTTTTTCCTTGCTTTTTTTTGCTTGCTTCACCATTAATGGAGAAAATTATATAATACTCCATCTTTGCTGCCATTATAGACTTTAATTAATTTACTTGCTTCACCATTAATGGAGAAATCTCACGAGCAAAGGAAAATTCGGCTTTATTGGAGAAATCAATGGAGGAGGGAAAACTCTCATACCCTTTTAGGATTAACCATGCCATTAATCCCTTTTATCTTAGGTTTTTTGTTTGAAAAGGTAATACCGATGTTGATGGTCAATGAAAATGTTGAGGTCGTTGGTCGGTAGTGAAGTCGAAGTTAGGGGACGAAGGTGAGTGGGAGAACGAAAGGCGTTGAAGAAGATGAAGCTAAGGGCGGATAGGATGATGAAGGTGAATAGCTTGGTCTTCTAAGGCCATTAAATGGACAACACAGTTACACAAATGTTATGGGTCATTATGTACGACCGTTGATCGACGTTGACGACTAAGACCAAGATACACAAGACCAAGTCAAGATGGTTACTAGTGTTTCCTGAATTCGTGGAAGGAATATTTGCCATGCACCAAGAATAAGTCATGAAAGATGTTATGATTTATGTGCACCTCAAATTAGTCCAAGTTCATCGGAAGACCTAATCAAAGAACTAACCGTCACTCCTACTTTCACGAAGGACACCCCCCCACTACTCTCCAACAACCTACCTAAATACCTTATAAATAGAAACACTTTTCTCTCACAAAGACCAATCCATTCCCACGTATAACATGTTCACTATGTAATTCCATACTACTCTTCATAAGCAAAAAAACCTTCTTTCTAGTTTCTACCTTTTATTATTAATTCTAATCCCACGGTTAACATGATCCACCTAAACCTCTCGCTAAAAGAATTCTCATTGAACTACTATATTTTATCCCTCAAATACACCTACAAGTATATGTTCCTACAAACCATGCTACGCCAAGAACTTTGTCCCATCTAATTAGCACATATATTCTTTTATACTATGCTCTTGTATATTTACGTCAAATATACAATGTAAATGTAATTAGCTTTATGTCCGTATTATAGTGGATTGGTGGACTCATAGCCACCCTGCGGTTTTTACCCATCTTCATCTGGGTTTTCCGCGTTACCACATCGTGTCTTCCCTCTCTCTCTTTATTTTCCGTCATTTACTTTTTGCATTTTCTTTCATTAAATAATCTTAGAGTCTTTTCTGTTCACCTTATTTTCACTTATTTCAGGTTTAATAAGTTCAAATAAGTTCAGATAAGAGTTAATAAGTTCAGGGTTAATAAGTTCTAAATTAATGTTCTTCTCCACTTATTATATTTATATATAATATTACTAATCAAGATCGCTTTTCACCTTCTTTTTTTCTTTTTCTTTTTTTTTAAATCATTTTTTCATATAAGAATAAAGTAACGTTTGCATAAAAAAAATAATAAATAAATAAATTAAAGTAACGTTATAATCAAAAGTTATGATAAGACTAACATGTCAATCATGTAAATTTTGCTTAAACAAAAGTCAAGCAAATAAACAAATTTACTTTTTTTGTAAAAAAAAAAACAAAAAACAAAGGGAAATTAATATTGATTAATGATAATGAAAGTCAAATCAACAAAAAAACCAAAGGAAGGTTTTTACTATTTCTAAACTATAAAATAGTAGTATCGTTAACCGTCAAGTTTTTACTTTTCCTAAGCTATAGAATAGTGCTTTTAGTTTCAGTTACCAGTAATATATATATATATATATATATATATATATATATGTATATATATATATATGTATATATATATATATGTATATATATATATATATATGTATATATATAGTCGAATAATAGGAACTAAAAACTAACGTGGACCGTCAGATCTAAGGAATGAGGCGCACGATTATCTAACGACCCAAATTCATTCAGACATTTCAAGTGTCATTTTCTCTCTCTCTCCTCCGCCATTTTTAACTGCTCAAAATCTTCGAAAAACCGCCATAACCGCCATTTTCAACTGCTTAATTACGCTATATAAGCATAATTCAAGTTCTATCATCTACATTTCTTCAGTTTCGGAACAAAAATCGCGAAAATTAGCAAAAATTGGCGAAAATTAGGTATTACTTCGAAACTTTGAAGTTCATACTCTTTCGTCTAATTTTGTTGCAATTTCTTACTTATTTTTGTGTTTTTTGCTTGAATTTGTTGAATTTGAAGTAGTAGAAGTTGAATTGGAGTAGTTCGAAGTTTAATTTTTGTGTTTTGAAGTTCAATTTGCTTGATATTCAGGTATTTTCGGAATTTTGTTTGTTTTTGTTCCAATTTCGTTTGATTTACTTTTAATTTTTGGTTATATTTGTTGTAATTTAGTTTACAATTGATTAGAAGTTAATTCGAAGTTGAATCAAAGGTTTTTTTTGTTTTTATTAATTTTTTTTACAAATTTTGCCATAAATTTAGAATAGTTTGTTTTTTTTTTTCAAATTTTGGTATAAATTTATATCAAATTTTTGTAAAGAATATTGATAAAAATTTAGATCTATTTATTTTTACGAATTTGAGTAATTTTTGTTCTACTGCTACTAATTTTGACTCATTTTAGTTAATTTTTGAGTAATTGTTGATAATAGTTAAAAGAAATCAAATAAAAGTTGATATAAAATAATTAAAAGTGAATAAAATAAAATTATTAATTTGGAGTAGTTTCCTTTGAGTTTCAGTAGTTTCCTTTAATTTTGAGTGGTTTATTTTTACAAGTAGATAGAAATTGGCTAAAAGTAACTTTAAATTGATTAAAAGTTAATAAATTATTGTATGATCTATAGCTATTATGGCTTGTGTATAAATCAAGAAATTGATGTGGTTGAAATGAGGATTGGTTTTTTGTTTCGAAATGTTGCATGTGTATAAATCATTTGTTGCTGTTATTATAATAACAAGAGTTAATTTGAAAGTATCTATATCAGGCAGTATAAAACCATCAAGTATAAATCGAGAAAGTATGATTCATTTTTGTTTTGTATTGCATGCAGATTAAAATGACGAAAAGTCCAAAGAAAAATGTTGCAAAAAAACCTCCAACACAACCTGATGCAGCAAAGAAACCTCAAAAGGAAGATCCTGCAGGGAAAAAAGCTCCTACAACACAGAAAATATCTCCAAAGAAACCTACAAATTCAAAGAAATCTCCAATTAAAGGTATATTATCTTGAAGTAAAATATTCAATTTATAAAGTGATGAGTCTATTTTATATATATTTTTATTCCCCGTTCCATGATCATATTTGTGTTTGTTTGAGCTCTACGGAGCCATTTTTATTACTAATATACGTTTTCTAATGTTTTTATAGAGTTGGTATTATTTTGTAGGAATCTGCAGATTTATGACGATTTCAGAGCTTATTGAGCCACTACAAAGTATTAGAATCGAAACGTATTTTATGATCGTATATTTAAAGCCCAAGACCGAGTTAAAGAAATTTAGCTTAGTGAATAAGGGCTCGATTAGAGAAGAGAAAGGTCCACATTATTGTTATGGATTAACAGACCAAGCACTATAGAGAAGTTGGACTCAAGTCAAGAAAATCCAAGTTTCAAAACCCAAGAATCATAGAAGCCCAGCTCGCAGCTCAAGCTAACCGGGCACGACCGGACGAGGCCTGGCCCGGTCGGGCGGATATTAGCACAGGCTCCTTGCTATTTGGGCTATTTTGATTTGGGCTTAATGTTTAATTTAGCTTTAATTTAGGATGATTGTTATGGATGATGGTAGCAGTAATGACTAATGATGGTAGCTTTAATTTACTAATGATGATGATTTAGGATGATTGTTATTTTAATTGTTATTTGGGCTATTTTAATTTGGGCTTAATGTTTAATTTACTAATGATGATTAGCAGTAATGATGATTGTTATTTGGGCTATTTTAATTTGGGCTTAATGTTTAATTTACTAATGATGATGATTTAGGATGATTGTTATGGTAGCTTTAATTTATGCAAAGGTCCACATTATTGTTATGGATGATGGTAGCAGTAATGACTAATGAGATATTAGCAGCAGTATTAATTTAGCTTTAATTTAGGATAATTTTGCATTTAGCTTTGGATTATTTTTAGTTTTATAGTACTTTTATTGTTTATGGGATTTGTGGGCTCTTTGCCTCTTCCTATTTAAGAGTAGTACTAGTTTAACGGAGGTTAGCTTACTCTTGCTTTCTTTTAGTTTTAGCTTAGGTGGTTTTAGTTTAATTAGATAATTTTAGCTTTTTGTTCTTTTAATAGTTTTGTTTAGTTTTTCATGAGTAATATCCTTTTAGATTTCATCACTTAGATTCCGGAACTTTATAGTTTTCATTGCTTTAGTTTCATTAATACTTTTGTTTTGCTTTTATTTAATTCATTGCTTTTAATGATACTTTGTTTAATTGTTTTATGTAGTTTAGATTTAATTATGTGTGAGTAGTTTATTTCTAGGGTTGCGGGGATCCAGGAATAATATGAAGGGATGATTTATTATTGTTGATTGTTAGTGTCTTAGATTAATTTCCTATTGATTGATTTACTTAGATTAGCGCTGGTTTAATTATATGAGTCACGCAATATTGATTCGAGATTCGACAGATGAGAATTGATGTTAAGGCTTAGTTTCAATAGGCAGGTTAATTTATAAATGGTTAAGTCAAGATTCGAGAAATGCGATTTAATACCGCTAAGCTAAATTGTGTGATTATAATACGTAGCAAAAGCCCTTAATAATCTGGTTAATTTATGCATTGATAATTGATTGTTGTCTTTCATCCCGAAATATTATTTATCGGTAACCCTATGCCCTAGGCTTTATTTTATTGATATTCACTTAATTTTATTTGCTTATTTTAATTAGTTCTCTTAGATTAATTCATACCAATCTTATTTGTTACTTGATAATTTAGATTATAATAATTTATTGGGAATAAAAGAACATTGTTTCCTGTGGATTCGACCTTACTTCCCTATATGTTTTAGTTAGTGGTTTTAGGAATTACTTTTGATTAGGTGATACGACTTAAGCCTGTCATAAAGTAAATAGAAACAATTATAAAGTAAACCATTTACCTTTATAAGTCTATGCTATCACTATAAATATTATAATGCATACAATTACATGATTGAATATAAAAAGTAAATGATAAGTTTAATAAAGTAAGTAAAAATACTTATAAAATAAATATATATGTATTTAAAGTTATTTAACATATTTTGTATTTATATACTCCTTGTTAAACTCATTGTTAAACTTAACTGTATTAGGTGCTAAACTTCAAAGGATTTCAAAAAAGCAAATACTAATAAATAGAAGGCTTAAGGAACTAGAACCTTCAGAAGGTTTATAAAAGTTTATTGTATTAGGTTCTAAAGTTAGATTGATATGTTGTGAATTAGGTTGTTTGTTCTTGAATATTTTAATTTTAAAAGTAAATGTTTTAATTAATATCTTCTAGGTTAACAAAATATAGGAACCAAAAAAAGAACAAAAGCTGAAGTTAAAGATAGCAATTACGAACAAGAAGAAGATAACAATGAAGAATCTGATGGATCATCAGAAGAAGACAGAAAAAATACAAAAGCTCATTTAAAGAAGAAAATGAAGCTTGACAGTTCAGATAAAGAGGTATAAGAAGTTATAGAGGTTAAAGAAGGAAATGAAAATGATGATGGTAATCTGGACATCAAGAAAACACACTGTAGACCCAATGCAGTATTTGATATTATCAAGGACTTCAGTGAGAGACAGAGATTAGATGTTATAAGTGTTGGATTTGGAGGCTTGCTTGAACTAAAACTGACAAAAGTTTTAACAAAAATGCTTCCATGGCTTTGTCATCATTTCAATGAAAAAAGTTGTATGCTCAAGATTGACATGATGAAGGAGTTCTCTGTAAGTTCCTATGATGTTCAAGATGTTTTCTTGCTTCCAAATGTAATAGAGAACAAGTTGTGTAATCCCCCATATTTTTCTTAGTAAATAATAATTATATATTTTTACGTATACGATTATTTTTAATAATTTTATATGTATATAAAAATATTTTGGAAAGAATTCATAAAATAAAAACAATAACTTATATTTCAATAGCATTCTACTCACTTTGGGCTATGATTACCATTCTAATTCTACAAAAAGATAAAAGAGCCCAAACCCTCATTTTTCTAATTAAGTAAACTTCTCTAAAAAACCCTCATACTGCTCCCCCTTATTACTCCCTTTCCCTTGCTTCCCTGCCTCATTCACGAAACACAAAAAAAAAAAAAAAAAAACTCACCTGCGCTGCTGCTCCACCACTGCCCAGCCTGCTGCCGCCGCCTGCCCTCAGCCGCAATCCACCACCGCAGCACCGTCGGGCACCAACCGGTTTCCCCTCACTTCCCTTCTCTTCTATCTTCCTCTTTTCTTGTTTAATTTCTTAAAGATTTAATCTTTATATGTTATTGATTTGATTATGCATATACATGATGAATATTGCAAATTTATTGAGTTATGTTGCGAATTTGTTGAGTTTATGATATACTAAGCACATGATTAATTTCAGATTTTATTAGCTACGAAATTAGGGTTCAAAAATCGTGATTTTTGCAAAATATAGACTTAAACCATGGATAATTGACTTAAATAATTACCTTATATTTAAACATGGTTCTACCTTTAATTTTCGATGGTTATATGTAATTTTCAGATTTTCAGAAAAGCTGATTTTGGGTTTAAACGTTGATTTTTCATGATTTTGGGCATAAAACATGAATGCTTGATTTAATTACTTACCTTGTGCTTAATTATGATCCTAACCTTGATTTTTGATGAGTATAATAATTTTCAGATTTTTAAGATAACTGAATTTTTGGGCTCAAAGCAGGAAGATTAAATTATTTAATTATAGTATGTATAAAATTATGTTTAAATTCAATTACCTTGATTATAAACTAAATTTCAGATTTCAAATTACGTATATGCTAGGGTTTAAGTTGCGAAATTTGAAAGTTTAATTGGGTATTTATGAATATAATCGAATTCTATTCCAAGTTTAGATATTTATATCCCTATATTCCACTACTAAACTAAAATTTCAGATTTTAACCCCAACTTTAAGTAGCTTTAAATCATGGTTTTATGATGGATTTTCAAGTTCTCAACATACTAACGTGCTATAACGATTATTTCAAATGAAAATGTTTATGCGGTTGTTTTGTAACTTTAAACTAAATTTTCAGATTTATAATTTTACTTTAAAGTGCTGAATTTTTATGCTATAAGCTATACTTATATGATTTTAGCATATAAACTCATAGTTCAAGTACTAAATTATTAACTTTGGCTATTGGGAATAATTTAAGAGCATTATTTCAATGATTTAAAGGATTTTTAAAATAGTTTAGTATTGCTGTAAAATAGTTTGCTTGGGTATTAATTGAGCTATTGTTGTTTTGTTTAGGAGAGGATTTCATAGAAGGTGACTTTTAGCCTTAAAGTGGCCAACCAATTTGTGTACTCAAGGTACGTACAAGAATACGAAGAACCTTGATTTTAGGAGCATGCTTAGGACTTGGAAAAACCTAGAATCATGCTAGGGAACTTGTGGATTGGTTGAAATTGTTTGGTAATGAGTTGATTGATGATCAATGTGATGATTGTTTTAATTCATGTATGAGAGATTGAATTGATTTTTTCTTATGAGTACTATTTATCAATACTTTACAAAGAGAGCTTAAAGAAGTAAAGCTACAAGTATACATATGGAATGAATCATTTTAATTACTTATTCATCTGTATTGAAATGAAATGAGTAAAGGAAGAGTTAAAGTCTTATAAGACAAGATTGTGGATATGAGGTACTTTATGCATTTAAGGTGTTTATACACCGAGGTAGTTACAGGATTCAATAATGAATGTTGTTTGTCACTAATAAATTAAGAATTTAATTGGAAACTTGAATGATTTGAATGATTGATGTATGATTGGTTGTGTTGTTTGCATATGAGTCATCACCAAATTTAAACTGGTAAATCACGTAAAGTGCAAGAAGGATGAGCAATAAAACTCTGGATTTGTGCACGTCTAGAGTAATGACAAACAGGGGTTGGGGTTCACGGGGTATTAGCCGTGCACTTTTCAGAGGCCGTCTGATCTACGAGTCTCTTGTTTTAAATTCTTTTAAAATTATAATGAGTTAGATGAGATCTCATACTAGCTATGGCCACAGAGTCGCGCTCGTCTGCCATTGGATGTTTATCAATGTCTTCCGAAAGGAGGCATAGGGCTTTCTTATTTAATGTTCCGGAATGGAGCATAGGGGGACAACCCGGTCTATTGCTTAATCGAATTAAATTAATGAAGTGATCAATATTATTTAGAGAAAATTTGTAATAAATAACAATTGAATCATGTGTTCGAGTCAATAATTATATTGTGAGTGTATGAAATGCTTGATAGTATCATGCTAAGACTTTTTATTATATTTCGTAGCTTGTATGTACTCAGCGTTGCTGATTGCGTGCTTTTGTGTGTTTCTCTTGGTTATGGCCTTCGCCTTCAATGACCCTATAATGATCCAATTCTTACATTTGTAAAATTGGGGAGCAGATTAACCACAGGTTTGAGCGTTGGCTAATCACTTAGTTTATTTTATATCATGGATTGAATTTTTATTTTGGTTCTAATTCCATTTACTTCCTATTTTACTGGATTTTGAATAAGGGTCGTTATGGTTCCAACTTGTAAGACTTTGAGTTTTGACTTCTAGTTTTGAAACTTATATTCTTTTAAAAACTAAGTTAGTTTTCCGCTGCTGATTTCTGAATCTTGCCTTAACGTTTGAACACGTGGCGGTAACACGCCAGTAATTCTCTCACAGGTTATTAAAAGTGTTAACAGGTGATTACAGGTTATACAGGTTATTACAGGTTACTACAGGTTATACAGGTTAATACAGGTTTTAAAGAGAGAATTACTAGGGTGTTACAAGTTGACTTATCAGTTAAGGAAGCAACCTATAGCAAACATCATGATTCAGAATGAGTAGAAGAAGAAGCTAAGAATTGCAGAAAACGATGACATCTTTGTGAATAATTTGGAGAACAAAATAAAGAGCCTAAAGGAAGGAGGTGATGATTTTAAAAGGTTCTTTGTGATGTATGTTTGTAGCACATTCTTGGCCCTTGTTGCAAATAGAGTGATAGATTACAAGATAATCAGCTATGCAGACAATGTAAAAGAAATACGTAACATGGATTGGTGTGGTTATGTACTCGATAACTTGTGCAAAGCAGTGGGGAGCTTCAAGAAAAACAAGCATAAGGAATCAAGAACAGGAATCAGTGGATGTGTCCTGATTCTTCAGATTGTGTACTTTCATCAC